TGCGATCTAGAATTTACGGCCAATCTCGCCAGGCGCCCCACTTCGAACCGTGGCGTGCATGAATCTCGACTGGGCCATCCTTGGAACCATCTCTTGGCGGTTGCATCTCATTTTCAAGATGTTTACGGTGAATCACCTTCAACGGTCGTTGAAAAGCGCGTTCAACCGAGCGTTGAGCAACATCGGTTGCGTTTGAAAAATGTCTGGCAAGAGGAAGATCCTCCCGGTTACGTGGCCGGCATAGACGACTATACAGGTACTTGCGGTCCAATTGTGGGTTTGGCGTCCTCTCCTTTTCATGACTGTTATCAGTATATGGTACTTTTCTCAGTGCATCTTGGCTGACTGACTGGCTTGCTAAAAGATCAAATTTTCAAACAGTCTACCAGACTAGGTCTTCGTCCCTTACACTACGGAACGCTGGAACAGCCCAATGCCGAAGATATCGCGGCGACTCCGAAAACGAGAATTGTCTGGTGGAAAATGCGTCAAGAGGATGTCGCGGCCTGGCCAGGACATGACTGGCCATCAGACATCTCCGCTCGCCCGCGTGCGTTCACGACCGGAAACCACAAGGTGAGTACGAACATGGCTTCTTCAACCTAGACGCTCTCTAATACACTTCGTATAGAACGCTCAGATGTTTCGTCCGTTCCCTGCAAGAAAAACCCGTGTCCGGTGAGAAAACAAATTCGGATGATGCCAACGTCTTTTAACTAACTATTGATCAGAAGTACTCTACGCATTATATTCTCTCGTCGGGATACCAGAGGGCCGGGTTCCGTTTCCGCACAGCATAGGATTCCGCAGTCAATCCAGCGGTATCTCGAGTATCATACATTTTAGTATGTCGAGCGGTATTTCCTCTCGGAATCGGTACAAAATAGGTAGACATACCCTAAAGCTTTGGAATTACACAAGCTGTTTCAATTTCTCAATCGACACCGACGCGCACCGCAAGCGGAATCTTCAGGTCCGGCTGTCTGCGATATTCAAGGCTGGCGACGTTTGATCTCGGCTATTCGCCACGCGGCGTCGACAATCGCTTCTGCGGATGACTCGAGCAGCCATCGGTTTTGTTCAATGTATGAGTGGTTCCTCTCATATCAAAAGGTTCCGGCGTCTTAGGAATACCTACGAGTCGCGCTTCTAAGGCCATCTCGACGGTCTGTCATTCCACGGCGACAGGCAATGTTCCAATCGTGCCAGGTAGAAAATGGGCTCAGCCATTTACCGCACACCTCCATCACATTGCCAGAACCCCTCCAAGGAATTCTTCACCTTATAGAGAACGACTTCTCCCACGAGGTACGACAATTTTTAGAGAAAGAGTTTGAATGAGAAGCGGCAACAAATCATGGTATGGTCGAGCTCTGGGTCGTTGAGCTCTGCTATTCAGTCAGACCCGGGCAGTGGTTATTGCCGTCATATCATCATGGACAGGTAGACTGGCGTACTCGTTGCACTTGGAAACTCAAGTACGCATCCAAGAAGTATGAAGTAGCTTAAAGAAATACGAGTGCCATTTCTCTGAGTCCGATTGCCATTGCGTATGCTCACTACATTACTGTTAGAAAGATGCCGAATGCAATTTAATGGAGGATCAATGCTCTCTGTGCCATTGAAGGCTCTGCATCCAATCGAGGACCCCGTATTAGCCGATGCATCATACAGATTTTGGAATAATGCCCCTGAATAGCGGAATGATACTACAGCAGTTCTTTGGTGCTGTTAAGCCCTGAAATCAATCTGTTCGCCCCACGTAATTAATCTGGGGGATGCCATACTATTGGGAACTGCACGAGACCCAAGTTTCTTTCACTGCGGATTTGACTTTGCAGACAGTTTTGCGTACCATGGATCGTCATCTGAGAAAACTATTTCGAACACGAAGTGAGCAAGTAGGGCTCACCGTTGAACGTTGACGGTTAGCCGTTAGGATGTTTAAACGATGCCATGTCCATAAACTCATCACGGCATTTCTACACTACATGAGCTTGGCTTCTCTGGTGACAGTCTCAAGTTGGCATTCTTAGTGCCACTCAAATTAACGAATATTGAACGTAAACATGATTTTCAACGGGCCGCAGATTTGGACAGCTACACACAATTATGATAACGGTTACCACTGCTAGTAGAAGTCAACCGGTGCCAATAACAATATGAGGGACAGGACAAGTCGAGATGTCTATAAATACCCTTTACTCCCCCGGCCCTTTGCTCTAGTCGTTCAGACTTCACAGCGCCAGACACTATCAGCCGACAGGTGATGAGTTCTCCTTCCACTATTAATCACCCCTTGACTGTTCCATTACAGTATATTGATACAGACAGAGCACCTCGTTGGCTCATAAGAGTCAGTCAGTACTTTTGACACTCCCGCCCGAAGATACGCTCATTCTCCTCACTGACCGTCCAGTTGTTATCTCGCATTGTCTTGTTTGAGCCGAGAAAGCCAACGAGAAGAAACTCGGGCTCTTTGATAAATCCCGTTTATTGGAATGGTATGGCAGCCAAATCAGGTTGACCCCTTCGCTGTCAAGACCTGCCCTACACTGTCAACGGTGCAAAACGTGACCATGTTGCGGGTATGTGCCTCGTTCCCCTTGCCATGGCTCACGCTAACCCCGAAGACTCTTGTGCTGCCTAGAATTGGGTGCATATGGCCTAAATACACAAGTGCATTGCATGTGGAACTCCCAATTCCCGATTGCCACTAAAAAAAGTCAGTCAACCCCTCCTGTCCTCCAAGACACTGGTTAATGACTGGCAGCAAATCATGAGTTGTGGGTCAGAATTCGCAAGCGTTCGAGTGTACCACGATGAATGATCCTATCGCAAAGCTGAAGTTTACACGCCATTTTCCGGCCGGCGGCACCGGTAGTATTAGTAACCATCGCACTACCCATTCTGCTATTTGTGAACCCTGCGACCGGGAATGTGCTCCAAGAACGGGACCGGGATCGAGCTCGCCACGGTTTGTGAATTGTTTGAAGCCACAAAGCCCCGTGATCTGAAACCACGCTGCAGTCGGCTGACCGACCGAAATAGGGAAACAACCAAGAAATGCGGTCGTCGTCGAATCAGAGACGTGGCAGTTGATCTAATCTGTTATCTTCCGAGTTGCCCCAACAGCGTACGTACGGCGGACCAATGGCGGATCCCAATGTGAGTTCCTGAGCGCTCCCACACACTCCAACGCAACGACACACTTTCAATGAACTTCGAACCGTCAATCGTTTCTCGCACCATTCGCAAAAGGAGGATCCCGCGCCATGGAGACAATAGTGTGCAGATCACCACCAAGCAGCTGCGACGGCTCGTCGACGACACACTCGAAGCCCCGTCAGAGAACCCACGAACTCAGAACTGGGGTCAAACACGAATAGCACGCCTTCAAAACTGTCAATGACAAGTGGAAGAAGTGTGAGCGCATCGGAAGCAGATCGACGCGCTTCCCCTCCTTCTTCCTTGTCGCGATCGCTGGCCGCTGCGGGAGTTCGCTCTGCGAATCTCGGACTGCGGTGAGCCACCAGCGACTTGGTAAAGACCGCGACTGCGTTCGATTTCCTCCGTTTATCTTCAAAACAGTGAAGACGAGGATAAGAATGCCTTCGGCCGGTACCTCCATTTGTCCTTGGTCTAGCAAACAGTCGCATCCGAGCGGCCACATCGAATGCGGCTGCTACGCAGGATGTGCAATGGCTTCCACTGGCACCACCAAGACCAAGTATGGCATCTGGTTCGAATACTCGGGGTCGACTGAACTCGCGTCAACACGAGTAGTTACACGAATCGGGTAACAACACCAAGCGGCCAAAACAAAGTCGGAATCATTGTCTTTGATCGAGAAAGCGTTCAGGCGCAATCCATCGAGAAGATCCTTGATAAGAACGAGCTACTGGAACGAGACATGGAGGCCCTCATTATCGATCACCAGACTCAGAAGCTGGATGAGCCGGCTTATCCAAGGAACCATCGATCCCCGCGTACCGAAGGCATGTCCACCACAGTGCGTGATAGGTGTCATAACAGACTGTGCAAAGCGGCTCGGTCCGATTTCGAAGCCTAATCCATGCCAACAGAGGGATCTCGACCTTGTCCCACCGACAGATCCTATGGACCTGACGGCAGTCGAGATCTGTGCAGCCGACTTCCAGATCCTTCTGGTTGAGTCTACCTTCTGTCAGTGTCGCTTCACGCTTCGGACGGGCGTCAGCGGATTGGCGTGGCTACCCTTTGGGACACCATTCTCAGCCCCAATTGCTCGCCAGGATCATTTCTTACCACCCAGAACATGTCAGTCGTGAATCAACTCTTTCAATCCCCTAGCCAATGGCTGGCAGGGAGGAATGAATTGGAAGAACGGTACCAACACATGGAGCTGGCAACGTTCTGCGAGCTGTTCGCCTAGCTTCGCGTGACCGCGATTACATCCGCACGCCATCAAGGCAGAGCGGAGTGTTTCCGGCTCACCAAGACAAGATGAACAGCAGAGCCCGCTGACTTCCAAGAGACCGGGGATCGATATCGTGATGGCAAGGGGGACGCCCCTTTACTCCCACCCCAAACCAACACCACAAACGCCGTAGATGCCGGATTCCATCGCCACTAGCCACGCCTGTTAGGGCCGGAACTGCTTCAGCAGCCTGCAGTCCCACAACGGGATATAGGACCATGCGGGAGGTCCAGTGACAATATCGAAATGACGCAGCTTACACTCCAGTGGAAGTTCAACCGACCTACGGTCTGGAACAATGTATATTTCGCTCCACGCGCCGCGGGTAGTGTGTGAGAAAAATCTTTCGAACAACCAACAATGAGCAAATAGCTGCCGTTGATATTGCAGCTGCCACTCCCCAGCATCTAAAAGCACTACTCAACGTCCAATACCTGTGCGTATTGTTCGTGAGAGAGTACTCTCAGAAACAATGTGGTGCTCCGAGACAGCGACACACCATGTCAATTACCAATCAGCTTCAAGTTGGTGCTTCTGCTTGTCAATTGCGGCGAAAGCAAAAACCATTACGGTCTGGACGTCCGCCGCAACCGCCGGTGCTAGCCGCAATGCGTCGACCGATCGCCTTGGATGAGAAGCCAGCACAAATTTCGATGTCTGGTTCCTCGACAACCATTCCCGACTTAATGGGACGACCTCCGGTGCCACCGTCCTTCGCCGTGAGCAGCCATTTGCGATCCGCATTGGTAAGTCGCTCGATTGGAATGACGCTGATGCCGGTCTGATAGTCGCTGCAGTCACGCGGGCCGAAACCAACGCCCCACCCGGTGCGGAGTTGCAGCTCGCCTGAACGGAATGATTCTCTTTCATCGCGAGCTCTCACCGCATCCTGGCAGCTAATCATCTTAATGAACGCATGACGCTTCTTAATGTTGACAATACAGGTCTGAACGATGCCGAACTTGTTGAAAAGGGAACGGAGGTGAGCCTCAGAGGAGATACCACTGACGAAGAGGGTGCGGCTCAGAACCTTGATGTTACCCGGGCCGATGGAAGAGTCCCACTCAACGAGCTTAGGACCAGACGAGGGGAGATTATGGTCTTTCCGCAGCGGGGAATGAGACAAGCGTTTCCAGTGCGGAGGACTACGTATACGGTATTCGTTACTCCGACGACCTCTAGCATCGCGAGGATCACCCTGGCGCCCAGTGGAATAACTGTAATACTGGTAGTGCACCGGCCTATCGTGGCGGCGAGGCGGCGAGGCAGTTGACGTCGGTCCCAACCGGGCAGGTGAGAAGGACAGCCGTACCCAGCGGGAGGAGAGCGAGAGTGGTCACGATCTCTCCCGCGAGCACTGTCGACACGGTTCTGCACGTCCGGGTGGCCCCCGCCACCAGAGCCCTGGCAGGGTATCGCGCCAAATCCAGGAAGCTGAGCGGGGTTGGCAGCACCCATGGTATCGGCTATAGTGACGAGTTGCAGGGCCGCAACCCACTGGTCCTGCGAGATGCCCTGTTGCGACAGTAATTGCAGCGGGGGAATCTGCCGTGACATCGCCTTTCCATCCATCGCCGGAGCGGCGGCTGGCCACTGCGGAAGCATTGCTACCAATGGGCTCAGGGTCTGGCTATGGCCGCGGGGCTGCGGTATGGCAAGGTTCTCGCCAACAGCACCAAGAGTGGCAAATGGATTGACCATGGCGCCAGCACCAGCAGCAACACCTGTGTATGGGTTAGCCGTTGAGGGTGGCAGGGGAGATGAATCGACAGATGAGACAAGATGCAGAGCCGCGGCTGATGGGGTCAGGGTAGCGAGCGGGTTGGGAGAAGCAGACGTCACCGCGCTCTGTTTAGCCATATCGGCCAGCGGCTTGAGTTCGCCGATGGTATCTGTTGCCGCGGGCGAGCCATTGGCAGGCTTGAAGCTGCGCGGTGAGCCTTTGGACGTGGTGGACTGAACATCTATGAACCATGCCAGAAGCGATGGAATCAGAAGAGGATGAGGGTAAGATCCGACGGACGGTGGATACTACTATGTGGTGGAGCGTTCAGTTTCTCGCGGAATGAGTTAAACAGGAGGGCGGGAAGGAGCAGCAGCACTCCCAGATGTCGACAAGGTTCTTGATCTTTTCCTACAGAGTCCAGAAAGGCATACGTGAGTGATAAGACCTGCAAAGCAATGAAAACGCAAAAAACTGCCAGCACCATGTCCAAGGTTGAACGTGCGCGGGAGAATAAGGTCATTGGCGCGATTGGCACCCAGAGGCCCAGCCCCAGCCTGAACATTCACGCCTAGTGGATGCGTACCTTTTGATCTTGCGGGGCATTGTCGATGATGTCGGTCATCAACACGGGCAACAACTTGGTCAATCGATCGACACCACCAGCGTAGGTCCCATCCGGCGCGGCGCTTCGTGGAGACCGGCCAGCCTTTGCGAGTGGCGTCCACCCATGCCGGGCTATAGAGTCGACCACATAGAGATCGCCCAGCTTGTGGGTGGCGGGAACCTTCTTGAAGTGGGTGTAGACTTTTTGGATGAGAACGGGTTCATCCTGGGGTGCAGGGTTAGCATCTCATCAACTTCATCTCGGCCATCTTAACAGTCTCAACCATCCCAACAATTAAATATCTCAGGAGTAGGGAACGTGTCCTACTTGAACATTGGCGGTGCACAGTCTGGTGATACTGTGAACCTTGGAGCCTGTAATCCCGGGAGGCTTCAAAGCCAGCATGGACCGAAGGTAGCTATCCAGTTCCGCTACAGCCAACATGATGGGCTCGCGCGAGTCTCCGCGAGACAGTAACGTTTCAAACAGCGAGGATCCTGGGTACGTGTTCTTTGCCGGGCGGTGTTATGTGACTCTTAAGGCGGTCTGCAGCGACCAAAAACAGAAGACAGCCGGCGGCGGTTCTACTTGCGAAGCGAGCAGAAGAAAGAAAAGCTGTCCAGGGGAAAGAAAAACTGTAAGCCATTCGGGTGTTTATTTGTGACCATGTTCCATCGAGCACGAAATATCTTGTCGATCGTTGCAAGTCCTTCAAGTTACAGCACGTGTATTCACTGTCGAACCAGAGAATCTGCCGCCTTCAGCTGGAATAAAGCCCAAGCGAGGAGAGAAGGGACTGCCAGTGGTTGCTGAAACAAATACGCCGGTCGCGTGAATTACGAGGACAAGGAGTGTATGAGTGTAGAGGTACGACTTACCGTTTACAGTAGAGATCTCATGAGGTCCGTCCTGCCTGAGAGGGGCGAATCGCCGACGTATTTACGTTGTACGCAACCCGTGGACGGGGCGACAAGAGAAAAATAATGGAAATGAGAGGAGGGGGACGGCGGACTAGGGGGACTCCGCCATAACCCCAAATTCTACCATGTACTTATCACGTGACATATGAGCACAACGTCGCTCCTGCTGAAGACAAGTTGATTCTGAGCTTCAAAAAATGCACACCTGTTTTATTGCCGAGCAGAAAAGCGTAGAGAATTTTGGGTTCAGTGATATCGATTTCACCCGAAAAATGGTTCTGGGTGGCTGTGGGAAACTATGAAGAGGAAGCCATGATGGTGCAAAAGCTGGGTGTCCTGAGGGAAGCGAACACAGACTGTTTGCTGGTAATATATACAGCTAACATGGATGCTGGGCCAAGGCTCATGAACACCAAAAAAGATTCTCCGGCCTTTTTTAGCCGTTCCAAACCTGACATTGGTCCCAGGAACCCAATGCTGCTTCTAGGAGTATAGTGAGTTGTCGCGAGGAACAATCCTGCTGGGCTGTAGGAACGCACCGGAGACCAGGATTCGTCGCGCAGACTCCAGGGAGCCTCGCCTACCATGGGAACATCTAGTCTATTCCCTCCTGTTACCAAAATGAGGGTTGATCCGTGGCAAATACGTTTTATAAATAACCTCCGACCTTTCATAGATTTAGCTTAGGTATGGAAAGGCGACCTGAATATTTATCTACTCTTGAGGATTTTCTACCGAATAAGTTACAGCTGGTTACCTAGATTGCTCTAAATTGATACTGTATTGGCAGGTATTGTGAAATTTAATTCACCCAAGCTTCTTTGTTTTTTAGCTAGCACCGGTAAAATGTTGGAATTGAGGGCAATCCAAATATGTGGTATAGTCGGAAAACCCAAGGCCGGATGTTCACGTTGGCTAAAGCATGTGGAACCGTTCAACATCAACACATCAACACCATCAACACGTCAACACCATCAACACCATCAACACCATCAACACCATCAACACCATCAACACGTCAACACCATCAACACTTCAACGCCATCAGTACCAGTATCAACACATGACCAATCTTTCCCCCTATTCATAATTGCGTGTGAAATAAATTAGACTGCAGTAGTCGGGTTTCTCACCTACTACTGCAAACGGAGGCTGTTGACCGAATTCACTTGACACTTGACAAACCGGAAAAAAGTCATTCCTGCTGGCTACTTTATTATTCTGTTCACGTAGTCCGATGGATCAGAGCGGTAAATGGGATGATAATGGCCGTAAGCAATTAGAGAAGTAAAGCAGTGTACCCTGCATAGTTCAAATTAATATACAGCAACTTCAGACACTCGCCATTAAAACATATTGAGCATAGTAAAATTACGTGAATTGACACAATAGGTGCGATCTAAACGGATGGCGGAGCCCCAAGCATTTCATGGTTTGTTGTAATTGTCACGTTGTTGACCGGACATCGTGGACATCATGACTCCCTCCACTTACGCGTCTTAAACCATTTTGTTCCGGTAAAGTTTACAACCTTTGCATTTGTACCCAATTAAGTATCAACTAATCCTTATTCTGTTCCACTAAATTCCCTTAGAGCCTTTCTCGCCTTGTGACTTGTACAGCCCCTACGCTTTTTCTTCACATGCCTTCCTTACTTATTACGTATGATCACGTCTCTCCTCGTGACTACGAAATAATAATAGGATACTACAGCCCTTCACTCGTCCAAAACCTTGTACTAAATTAATGTCCCAGCTAGTGATGCTCTCGACGTATAACGTATATATTTCCTCTAAGAACATCTTGCATTAAACCTCCTCTATATCGTTTTACAAACCCTTACTATTCATTGACACCATCTCTATTCAATTGGCCGTCCCTATGCCATCTCAGGTTAACTCACCCGCTATTCTTCACTTGAGGGACTTCATAGATAGCGTGGGACCCGACCCATCTCGACCGGACTAGGGACTTGCTCTAAAAATTGAGGCTTCTTTACATCTTCCTTTTCAAACGAATCTCTACTCCGACGATGTTGAATTGAATGAGCTTCCGACTACCATCCATTTCTTTGCGTCGCCGGGTAATCCTCAATCCTACGAAGCCAACAAATTCATCTATGCTTGGGGGTCATTCTTGACCTGTGCCGACCCGGACGGATCTTTACATCTCATTTTACACGCCCATGAAGTCGACTGGTGAGATACGAATCTCAACGCCACCCTTGTCTCCTACCACTGAAGGTTTACTTAGTCATTCTGGAGACCAATTTGATTCTCATACGTACAATATGCACTGCCCAGAGGCCGCTCTTCCTATAGTTAGCCTACTCGGAATAGTCCGAAGTGAGGGAGGCCAGTTGAACAACGGGTCTACTCTGTTGCATTACGACCTCGAGACAAATGTCTATGACCTCTCTAACAAGGCGTCTGTGACATTTACTGTTTCCATCTACTTCAGGAACGGAAACCGTTGGACGAATTTTCCCGTTCTTGCTAGGCAGTCACGCATATTTATCGCGGGACGCATTTTCGGTATCACTACCAGCACGCCTCGGCTCGCTATTGGCGTGGATGACGTTTATTTTATTCCAACTATCGGCTCCACTTTGACAGCTCCAGTGACACCAACCTCGTCAGCAGGAAAGCAGAAACAAGCAGATAGATGGAACAGTCGTGCCAACCCAGTAACTCCAATAAAGAGACCTCGAATGTTGAACGCCAGCTCTGACTCCCAACCACAAGACGAGACCTGTCCCTCTACTGAGACGCACCTTCCAATAGAATCTGGAACCTGTGACGAAACTTTCCTTAACGATACAACTACCAACAAACTAACTCACCTGGATGACGGGTCGTCGGCTGACACAATCCTCCGCGGTCGTCCACCCAAGAGAAGTCGTAAATTTTCGAAGGTAGATTAACTTGTATAACGAGCTCATGTATCGCGTGAACTATCCCCTTAATATACATACGCCGCTCTTCTCAATTCATTTTGACTTTAAGGATATATTTTTGCACACATACTCCTCCAATCATCACAACCTACGCCACACTTTGCCACATCACTCAGTATGTATATGATTGGCTGGTCCCTATCAGATACTCGTGTGTACCTTTCCGGTACGTTATCAAAACTAATCGTTCAACTATCAACCTACGTTTCACCTTTCCTACTTGTTTCGTTTCAGGGCCACAGCGTGCGACAGCGCGCGTCACCAGTGTTACCATACAATCCTGGAACAAATCCTTGTTCACAGGATTAACCATATTAGGTTTAGCGTGTCCCGTGACTAGGATTTGAAAGAGTAATTCTATGTTTCTGGATACGGAAGGCAATAACGGTCTGCACTGTATATTAAAGACTACTGTATCTACATGATCCCCTTGCGAACGGACTGTATCCGGTTGACAGGGACTACGGGGACTGTACCTAACCGACTGTAGTTATCGAGTACTGATCGGCTCGGAGTGTGGCGTTGATATTGACTCTGAATTGCGATTGTGTACCGAGCGGAAGCTAACCGCGGATCGATGGCGGACCCACCCGCAAGGGCTGCCGAACTCCTTCCCACAAACGGACGAGGATCGGCGGCGACCCCTGCACTGGAGGACCAGGGATGGTCGACGGCACCCCGCACGAGGAGGCAGACTCGCCATGGAGATGATCATAGCAGTACCGTCAACCTTGGGGACAACAACGGACGTGTCACGACCAAGGAAATCCGACAACTCATCGAGAACCTGAAGCAAATCATACACCACCAAACCACCCTTATCGAATCAACCAAAGCGGAGCTGCAGGAGGTCAAGCACGATCAGAATGTCCTCCGAACCCAGAACGAGAAGCTCCATGAAGAAATTCGAGCCCTGCGAGCGCAAGTTGAAGCGCTACCATCAACACCCCCGGCCAGATCTTGGGCCACGGTAGCGGCCAGCGGCGGCGGCCAGCAGCATTCTCCAATGAACCACCTACGCACCAACAAAGATCAGAACTGCGTCCGAATCACCACTCAGCGCTCGTTCGTAGACCCGAGAGACAATGACAGCGACGAAAATGCCTTTGGCCGATACCTCCCAACGGAGGCTGCGAACGCCCACATCCGCACTGCGTTGTTGAGCGCGCCGTCAACACAGGACGCCCAGGTTGCCGGTGTTGGCACCACCAAAACAGGATATGTGATCCGATTCAAGAATGTGGAGTCGGCGGAAACGGCCCTCAACAACATCGAATGGCTGAACGAGCTCGGAAATAACACGAAACTCGTCAAGCCACGGTTCGGCGTCGTCGTGCACCGTACTCCGACAGAAGACTTTGATCTGGAGACCGCAAGCGCACAAGCGATCGAGAAAATCATGGAAGAAAACGAGCTGACCGAGCGGGGCTTCCAAATCGAAGAACTGGCATGGCTAAAAGCCAGAGATAAGCCACTAGGGAAATTTGCATCCCTAGGAACCTGGTTCGACTCGGCAGAGGGGGCAGAGCGGATCCTGGACCGCGGACTCCTAGTCGGCCAAAGATATATCGATAGCGTGGAACGACGTGAGATCAAGAAGAAGAGATGCTTCCGGTGCCAACGGTTTGGACACCTGGCGTGGTCGTGCAGGGAAACACCACGCTGCGGCCACTGCGCCGGCCACCACCTCCGTGAGCATTGCCCACCTGGCGTGCGGCCACGATGCCTCGACTGCAGTGGTGAACACCAGACCGGTGACCGTCAGTGTCCGACCCCCGCGACATCCAACCCCTCTCAATGTTAGGGACCAACCTACGCGTATTACAGTTGAACATCATGAAATCAGGGCCGCGGATGGAAGCGCTCATCAACGACCACCAGAGCCAGAACCTGGATATACTCTTGATCCAAGAACCATCCATCACCACCTATCAAACGCACGTCAACCATAGCGCCTGGCGGCTGTACCGACCGACTATCGAAACCGACGCAGTTCGGTATCGTAGTCTGATCTATGTTAACCGAAGCATCTCGACCTCCTCACATCGGCAGATCACCTGCGACCATGCAGACCTTACCGCAATCAAGATATGGACAGCAGACTCTCAAATAATCATCTTTTCAGTTTACATCCCACCCGTCCCGCTGTTCACGCCCAACGAGGCGTCAGCGGAACCAGCACTCACAGCAATCCAGAACACAATAACCACCGCTCTCCGAGACGATCCAAAGCCAGCAAGCGTGATCCTCTCGGGCGACTTTAACCGCCACCACCCGGCCTGGGGCGGCAACCACATCCAACCGCAGTTCATAGAGGACGCAAGCGAGCTAATCAACTTCTTCCAGGCCAATGGCCTACACGGCTGTCTCCCCCGAGGAACAGCAACATTCTGGTCTCTCAGCGACCCAGGGAAAAACTCCACCATTGACCAGACTGTAACGAACCGGCCAGATCTGCTCATCAAATGTCATCTGTACCACGATAACTATGGTTCGGACCACCGTGCCACATACTCGGAATGGAGCCTGAGAGCCCAGCGCAAACCCACCGCCAAAGCGAAGAAATCGTACGAACGAGCGGATTGGGGCAAGATTGGGACCGAAGTGCTCCTGCTGGTTGGCCCATGGAAAGAGATCAAAACGAGACCAGCGCTGGATGAGATGGTTGATAAGCTCACGGAAGCGACCGCAGCGGCAGTGGACAAACACACCCCTGACCTACGACCAACACCATATTCCAAAGGCTGGTTCACGCCAGATCTCAAAATCCAGCAGACTGAGGTTAATCGCTTACGCCGGAAGTGGCAAGAGAGTTGTGCGGAGCTCGGACGAGACCATACACGTTCGGTGACTCTCTTCCAAGAGATGCAACAAAAACGACGTGCATGGACTCGAACGATCGAGAAAGTTAAGGCGACGCATTGGAAGCAGTTCCTGGACAAAGCCGGTGAAGGGAAGCTCTGGAAAGCGGCTACATACATGAAACCGAGAGAGACCTGGGGCTGTGTCCCGGCCTTACATATCGACGCAAATGAGATCACGCAGAACGAAGACAAAGCGCAGGCCTTACTAGACGCTTTCTTCCCCGAGATGAACGAACCCCACGAGGATCCGCTAAGCCATCTACCTCTGGAACTACCGTGGCAACCTATCACCGAGTTGGAGATTCAACGGTCTCTTAAAACCGCAAAAGGCTCCACAGCCCCTGGCGAGGATGGCTTGCCGACGCTCGTGTGGAAACACCTTTGGAAGTCCCTGAAGGAGATCATCACCGGAATTTTCACTGCGTCAATCAACCTGGGATATCATCCAAAGCGTTGGAGGAGTGCGAAGATCGTGGTGCTACGGAAACCTGGAAAATCGGATTATTCGATTCCCGGAGCCTACCGCCCGATTTCACTCCTTAACACGTTGGGCAAGTTACTCGAAGCGGTTATGGCTCGACGACTATCGTACTTCGCCGAAAAGAACGGGTTGCTACCAGACACGCAATTCGGAGGACGACCGGGCAGGACAACCGAGCAGGCCCTGCTAGTCCTTGCTAGCGCAATCGACCGCGCGTGGCTTAAGTATAAGGTGGTGACCCTCATCGCGTTCGACCTGAAGGGTGCCTTCAACGGGGTCAATAAAGTGAGCCTAGACGCCCGCCTCCGGGCAAAGGGGATCCCAGCAATAGCACGCAGGTGGATCGCAAGCTTCATGAGCGATCGCCACGCGAGTATAGGATTCGACGACTTCCGCACAGAGGTGAACCCACTGGCGAATGCGGGATTAGCACAAGGCTCGCCTCTCTCCCCGATTCTATTCGCGTTTTTCAACTCCGACCTGGTCGACCAACCTGTCACCTTTCGCGGGGGCGCATCAGCCTTCATCGCCGACTACTTCCGATGGCGAGTAGGCCGTTCGGCCGAGGAAAACGTAGCCAAGATCCAATCGGAAGACATCCCACGTATCGAAGCATGGGCCCGACGAACGGGATCCTGCTTTGCAGCGGAGAAGACCGAACTTATCCACCTCACTAGGAAAAGAGGTGAACAGCACCAGGGGCAGGTAGTCATGGGTGGTATGATTATCGAAGCTTCGCCTAAAGCTAAGCTGCTAGGCGTGACCTTCGACCAGGAGCTTCGGTGGAAAGAGCACGTCCAGCAGGCTATAAAACGAGCAACCAAAGTGACTATCGCACTAAGCGGGTTACGGCACCTGCGGCCGGAGCAGATGCGGCAAATCTACCAGGCCTGCGTGACGCCGGTCGTAGACTACGCGTCGACAGTCTGGCACAACCCACTCCGGGATAAAACCCACCTCCGCCACCTAAACACGGTCCAAAGGACCGCATTGATTCGCATCTTGTCAGCGTTCAGGACGGTAGCCACCACAACCTTGGAGGTCGAGGCCTACGTCCTCCCCACCCACCTCCGTCTCCGCCAACGAGCTCAAAACACCATCGCAAGGCTCCACACCCTTCCTCGGAGCCACCCCATCTGGAGCGCGCTGTCACGAGCCCAGAAACGGCGGAACAACGTCCCATCGTATGCTCGCTTCCCGCTGGCGGAAGCGTTGAAGACGATGGACCTGGAAAGGTTGGACGAACTAGAGACGATTGACCCAAGACCACTGCCACCGTGGCGAGCCGAGTCCTTCACTGAGATTGAGGTCGAACCGGACCGGGAGACAGCGAGAGAACGTGCCGAAGCAGTACGGGCCACATCCGACTTAGTTATCTACTCGGACGCTTCTGGACGAGACGGTCACCTGGGGGCTGCCGTCGTAGCGCTCAACGACAACCTCGAGGTTATAGAATCGCAACAGGTCCAGGTGGGGCCAATGGACAGATGGTCCGTCCACGTAGCGGAATTAATAGGCATTTTTCAAGCAATCAGCATGGTGTTTAAGATCGCTCACGACCGTCCTAGGCCAAGCGGAGGAACGACCACAGCCACGATTCTCTGCGACAGCAAATCCGCCCTGCAAGCAACCCGAAACCCCGGGACCAAATCAGGACAACGAATCATTCACGCAATCCTCCAGGCAGCGACAGAGGTTCAAGCGGAAGGAATTGCGCTCCGCTTGCAATGGCTTCCGGGGCACTGTGAGAATGCGGGAAACGATGCAGCAGATCGACTAGCGAAGGATGCCGCGCACCCAGGAAAAGCACACCCCTTCCGCCCTCTGCTCACGAGGAAGAAAGCATTGATCCAAAGCAGGATTTCCGCGCAGTGGGCGCACGAATGGAAGTCTACCCCCAAAGGTAGCCATCTGCGAAAAATCGACAACGCACTACCGGCCATATACACGAGGAAATTGTATGGCAGTCTGCCTAGGAACCGGGCGTACCTGCTCACGCAGCTGCGTACTGGCCATAACTGGTTATCCACTTACGCTAAGGCGCACAAATTTCGCGACGATGATCACTGGGTTTGCGGCGCGCAAGAAACAGTCACTCATGTGCTGGTGGACTGTCCGATTTTGAGGGAACTGAGACGGGAGCTGAGGAAAGAAGTTGGGGACGCATTCAGTTGCATATCGAACCTGCTGGGAGGTTCAGCTGAAGGTAGGAAAGGTAAACCAGACACCGTCTCGCGGTCCAGGACGGTCAATGCCGTCTTGGACTTCGCAGAGGCGTCACAGCGATTTCGCAGTCGCGCGCCACGTGGGCAGCCTAACAACGGGAACGGCAATTAGGCCACGGCAGGCCTTGACGAGGCTCTAAGTTCGTTTTCAGGAAGTGGAACACTCTACATTTACGTACGCGGATGTGTATATAGTTGAGGTAGCCTGCATATCGCTTTTCAAGTTGGTTTACCCAACTAGGCCAAAATACGAATCCGTACCTAGCCTAGCGGGCTATGGTTTATAATCCAACTCTCCCCCGTAAACCATAAACGCTTGGCTTGGGGGTGGGGCATGGAGCTCTGTTGCCTGGCTGTGCGGCCAATCATAGGCCTTATTCTGGTGGCTCTGGTTGCTCGAACATGCTGACTGTGGGAATTGAACCAACGTGCACAAAGGTTACGCTAATTCGGGCTCATAACCAGTTGGTTTACCCAACTAGGCCAAAATACGAATCCGTACCTAGCCTAGCGGGCTATGGTTTATAATCCAACTTTTCATTGCGAGGGGTCAGGGTAAATGATATCAACCAACCAACCAGTCTGTATGTGTGGAGAAATGTCGACGATTCTCATTCTTCTTCTAGCCTTGTAATGAATCTCGGCTCTATCGCTTGACTGGAATAGTGTGCGATGGGAATCCCACTGGATCTTGTCCGATTACGAACCCTCTTGCACGTGCGATCCACCTTCCAGTTCAAGGCATGCAAGTTCCCCCCCCGCTTCGAGGGTTACGCCTCGCCCAGACCTCTACGGGACAGATAACTGCTCTGCAGTTCAAATACGGTGATAAGTGGGACCACACATGGAATGGAGAGCCCCAGCATGCCTGCGATGATGTACAAATTGATTGGAATTGGTCAGGACAGGATCTTGTGTTCCATTACGACGTGAGTCACCACGCCTCCTCCCGTCTTGATCCACACTAACTAGTATAGACACTTCGAAAAGAGATCAAAAAAATCGTCCCAAGGCTACGGTTGAATTGACGTCCCCAGTAAGCCAAACGTAACACACATGCTGTACAACGGCAAGCATTATTGACCGCGGATTTCGCATGTTGCTAAGTACCATGTCCCTCACAAGGGTGATGTCTGACTTTGAAGTCAAGCCAGGTGTCGTATTTTTGAAAATCCCCGGAACATCAATCACACTGAGATGATTTTCGTGAGGTCCATGAATCTCCAAACGAAGAAAATCAGAGGAAAACGTGGACTGTCTTCCACAGTGGTTGATAGGCCCATATAGGTGAACCTTGCGCAGCTTAGTTTTTGCATTCATTGCTAGGGCTAGACGAATAGACCAACGACAGTCATCATGTTCTCGAACTCCATCTCATTCTATCATCGTGGGTTGTTGAGATTATGGACTCTGTGACTTTCCGCATTTTAAGTTCGGATCTTTCCGAAATATGATCTGCGTTGCAAATCAGATGTATAAGTCAGCGTTTCGAGGGAATTTCAATTTTGTCAGGTAGTTCATTGTAAGCAAATAAGACAAATAATTTAGCGCGTCCCCGGCCAAAAATGGTGAAAAATGACGAAAATATTGAGTGTGTGGTATCATATCGGTGAACTCTTGACAAGCTATGGCCGCACAGCTGTCTCGAAATATCCTCCGAGCACCATTAACGCGGAATCGTAGCGCGACTAGCTAATCCAGGTTGGTTGATTATTCGGGAGGCGAATTCTGACATAGGGTCGAAAAGCGAAGATCGCATTCGTTTCAACTCGTCACCATTGCGTTTCGCAAAGTGGGACATATAACAAAAGCATTTAGGCCACCGTGCCTGATATCACTCCGTCATAGGTATGTGGAAATTTGAATCGGGTCACAAAGTTGATGAATTCGCGTCACCTTCAACCTCCTTCAAACCGGAGAATTCTGCCTTGGCTCTTCCTTTGCTGTCCCACATCCGGAGGATACTGACGCCATCTCGGTGGCGAAAGTCATATCCCAAGAAGCCTTGTAACGATCACTCTCCACTTCTTTGAATTTCCCAGCGAGAATATTGAGGCGGTACAAGAGGAGAGCAGAAGAGATGTGCTTTAAAAATCCATGCTGACGAATAGGTCTTTCAATGTCATCTATCGATAGGAATTTCGGCTGAGGGTCTTGAGATTGCTCGAATTCAAATCGCGAATCAACAGAATTCCATCGAAGATCGTCATCGTACCAGCGAGTTGTTTCCCTTACGTTTCGGAGTGCGTGTCTTGCTTTGGGCTCAGGAAGTGGTGTCTTGGATAAGCGCCATTTCTTCTTGATGAGTTCTTGCAGAGAATACGCCGCCTCTCTCTCAACGGCAGTTAGGCGGTTATTGGCTTCATAATGTTCGAAAACCATCTTGTCAATACGGGGGCATGAGGTATCGAAGTCCTTCCAGATGCGAGAAACTCCAGCCATTCTACTGAAGTATTCTTCTTGGTCGGAATCTCCGAGACACTTGAAATTTCCGTAAGAGAGCAGTGGATCTTCCATAGGCTCTGAATCAAGACGGTAAAATTGATGACTTCTCTTCGGGTTCGATCCTAAAACTCTCGCTATGTTAGTTTAACTACTATGAAAACGCACCGATTAATAGCGAAGTTAATTAACCTGATTCAACGCCGTTCGTCTCAATTTTCCTCTTTGCCAGCTGACCACACGTCATTTCTGGGTTTTGAAAAAGGTGGGTACAGTCGAAGCTCTGGCAGCCGGGATAATTCGCAAACGTTGAATCACGAGTAGATTCCTTAGGCATTAGGCTGTTTGGTATAATAGGGAGATTCTCCACATTTGCTCCGTTCCAGAACCCAGTTGAGCTCATCAGAATGGTGTCTGCATCCCAATCATTTTCATCCACCATGCTAGAATCGTGACCTTCGTTGCCTCTAATACTCGAAGTTCGAGGGTTATCTGAACCTAACGGCTGGGGATCAGCCATTATAAGCTGAAGTTTCAGAGAACTGTGTCGTGTTAGTGGCCAATACTTAGTAATACAAATCTGAAAGGGGATTGGGAAACTGACACCTGTTTGACTGAATCAAGTTTTATAGTACCTGGGAATTGATGCATATACACCGGAACATCAGGAAGGGACCCAGCTATTTATATCTTGGTTAATTACATTTGTCTTAGTGCAAAGCAGCTGACAGATTACAGCGATTTGAGAATGTACGCTCCCAGGAGCCCTAACCAGATTGGAATGATCTTGACTTCCTGGGAGCTATAACAGGTAACTTTGAAAGGTCTATATACACGATGAATATGGGACATATGGTGTAAAGGACAACATAGCTTACCCAGCTTACCCAGCTCTCTTGGGCACTAGAATGTCCATTTCTACGCTTGGGAACGACCAAGCCAGCACAATAATGAGGCTAACACAACTCCAGGGTAATCCGGTTTTGAGCAGTAAGGCTAACACATCTTATTTTTTTACTATGTCTGTTCAATTTTACACAGACAACCAGGCTTTTCTGAAGCAAAGAAACTATAAAATTGCCGTTTAAACGGCGATTAGAGGCCCTCTAATGGTTGTTAACAGCCACGACGAACATATGGTGTGGTCTGAGGGTAATTATGGGTGCAGAGGTTTATTCGGCACCTTTCGCTAGTCTCGATGGAAGAAATTGTCCAAGTACGTTTGATTATGCTTTTTGTTATGATCGCCAAGAATTTAGTATTGGCCAGGCTTCACTGTAAGTGCGTGAAATACATGGCATGGACGGGCGGTAACTAGCATGTGTAAACGTCTTTCCATCCGAAGAACTATCAGCGAGAGAAATATGATTTGATTAGCATTACACTCACTTTCACTATTAGATAAGTTCATTGTTTGAAGGGCATCGGTGTACGGAGCCTTGTTCAGATCTATGTTCATTGAGTCAAGGCAGCATTGGTCAGACTTAAGCTCCCAGGAGCCTATGATAAGATCTCGCCCAAACAGACAGAGTATTTGATTCAGCTATCTTGAATATGTAAAATAGTGACGCTCCTAGGAGCAAGTGTTTGGTCATGCGAATAGCAGGTCTTCCTCCCGTGTATTGCTACCTAATCTGGCGAGAATAGTCTGGCATCAAAGCCGCGAAAGGTGTTCATCTTAGTAGTAGGTGATCACAGAAGGGTATCTGAATTTTTAGAGAGAGATCTGAAAGTATCCAATCAAAATCAAAGAAAATGCGAAGTTCGTCTAGAAAATCCAATTTGCCTCTAGAGCTCCCCAGATGTGGCCAAGTATCGGGCACGGGAAAATGCTCTTAGGAGCATTAGATCTACAATAATCGTATTCTCCTTCAGGTATCACCACGCAGGATCACTGGTAAAGGCCAGTACCAGGGTGCTCCCGAGCCCCCTCGCAAAACCATGCGAGGAACGACAACGGCCGACGCGTTGGAGATACGCGGCTTACGAGACTTCAGAAAATTTGTTTCCTGAGCCATGTGAAGATCTACGGCCAGTAGCCCCGGTCAGAGTCTTCCGAATCGGCGCAATAAAACCGAATGATGTCTGTTTCAGACGGGGTTGCTACGGCTGGATGGCCACGCCAGGCTCAGATCCCGGATAGGCCGGGACAGAGTCAAAAGGGCGTTGCACAAGAACTTCAAGCGTACAGACCAAAAAAGTGAAAATTAATGAAAAGGTTTCCAAAAATTGATTCTCATACTTGAGTCAGTCGCAATAATGGGGGAACCCGTTCCATCCGGCCGAGCTTAAACCCAGTGGGGGAACTCCATACAACGGATAGAACTCTCATAATCCATCTCTGCGTCCGTCATCCAATTTGGCATCACTGCATAATCAGTCAATAGTAGTCTGCTAGAGACCCGCATATCGCCAGCCAATGTTATAGGCAAACTTACTTCCTACAACATAATCAGTACCTATGAAATCGACTGACCAGCATTTCAAGCAAGGGCATTAGGTCCACTTACACACTACACAACCAGCGGTTATCAAAGTGCCAAATCAGCCTCTCAAGCGAGAGTATTGCAACCACTTACAGTCTGCACCACAACCAGCAGTTAGCCATTTGCCTAGTCAGTCTGTCAAGCAAGGGCATTGGATCTACTTACACACTACACAACCAGCAGTTAGCAAGGTGCCAAATCAGCCTCTCAAGCGAGAGTATTGCAACCACTTACAGTCTGCACCACAACCAGCAGTTAGCAATTTGCCCAAATCAGCGTGTCAAGCAGGGGCAATTGCATCCACTTACACACTACACAAATATCAATTATCAACTCGCCCAATCAGCTATCAAGCAAGGGTATTGCATTCACTTGCCTTCTGCAACGCGACCAGCAGTTAGCAACTTGCTTTATCAGCCAGACAAGCAAAGTTATTTCATCCACTTACAGCCTCCAACGCGACCAGAAGTTAGCAATTGGACCAATCAGCCTGTCAAGCAAAGGTATTGCATCAACATACAGTCTGCACCACAATCAGCGGTTAGCAGTTTGCGTAATCACCCTATCAAGCAAGGTATTGGATCCACTTGCCTTCTGCAACGTGACCAGCAGTTAGCAATTGGACTAATCAGCCAGTCAAGCAAAGGTATTGCATCCACTCACAGGCTGCAACGTGACCAGCAGTTAACAATCAGACTAAACAGCCGGTCAAGCAAAGGTATTGCATCCACTCACAGGCTGCAACGTGACCAGCAGTTAACAATCAGACTAAACAGCCGGTCAAGCAAAGGTATTGCATCCACTTACTCCCTGCAACGCGACCAGTAGTTAGCAACTTGCCTAATCAGCCTGTCCAGTAAAAGCATTGCATCCACTTACAGCCTGCAACGCGACCAGCAGTTAGCAATTGGACTAATCAGCCTGTTAAGCAAAGGTGCTGCATCCACTTACCCACTGCACCGCAACCAGCAATCAGAAATTTGCTTAATAAGCCAGTCAAGCAAGGGTGTTTCATCCACTCACAGGCTGCAACGCCACCAGCATTCAGCAATTTGACTAATCAGCCTGTTACGCAAAGGTTTTGAATTCACTTACATACTATAACGCGACCAGCAGTTAGCAATTTGTCTAATCAGCTTGTCAAGCAATTGCATCCACTTACACACTACACAAATATCAGTTAGCAACTTGCCCAATCAGCTTATCAAGCAAGGGTATTGCATCACTTACAGCCTGCGTCGTGATTAGCAGTTAGCAGTTTGCCTAATCAGCTGAGGAGGTAAAGGTATTCTATCTACTTACAGGCTGCAACACGAGCAGCAGTTAGCGACTTGCCTAATAAGCCTCTCAAGCACAAAATATTGCATCCACTTACACTCTGCCACATGACCAGAAGTTAGCAGGTTGCCAAATCAGCCTCTCAAGCAATTGCAACCACTTACATCCTGCAACGCGATTGGCAGTCAATAACTTGCCTAATAAGCCTGTCAAACAAGGATATTGTATCCACTTACACACTACACAAATATCAATTAGCAACTCGCCTAATCAGCCTGTCCAGTAAAAGCATTGCATCCACTTACAGGCTTCAACGCGACTAGCAGTTAGCAATTTCCCTAATCACTCTGTCCAGCAAAGGTATTGAATCCACTTACAGGCTATAACGCGACCAGCGGTTAGCAACTTGGCTAATCTGCCTGTCACGCAAAGGTATTTTATCCACTTACAACCTGCAACGCGACCAGCATTTAGCAATTTTCTAATCACCCTGTCAAGCAATTGCATCCACTTACATCCTGCAACGCGATCATCAGTCAATAACTTGCCTAATCAGTCTGCCAGGCAAGGGTGTTATATCCACTTACACTCTGCGCCACGACCAGAAGTTAGAAATTCAATTCGCCTAATCAGCTTGTCAAGCAAAGGTATTTCTTCCACTTACCCACTGCAACACGACCAGCAGTTAGCAATTTGCCTAATCAGCTTGTCAAGGAAAGGTATTGCATCCACTTACCCACTGCACCGCGACCAGCAGTTAACAATTCAATTTGCCTAATCAGCCTGTCAAACAAAGGTCTCTCATCAACTTACCCACTGCAACGTGATCAGCAGTTAGCACTTTGCCTGATCAGGCTATCAAGCAAGGATATTTCATCCACTTACACGCTATACAAATATCAGCTAGCTAGCAACTTGCCTAATCAGCATATCAAACAAGGGTAGATCATCCACTTACAGCCTGCAACCCAACAAGCAGTTAGCAACTTGGCTGATCAGCCTGTCAAAGTAAGGATATTTATTCCACTTACTCCCTGCAAGGCGACCAACAGTTAACAACTTGCCTAATCAGCCTGTCACGCAAAGGTGCTGAATTCACTTACAGCCTGCAACGCGACAAGCAGTTAGTAATTTGCCTAATCAGCCAGTCAAGGAAAGGTATTGTATCCACTTACGGGCTGCAACCCAACCAGCGGTTAGCAACTTGGCTAATCTGCCTGGCACGCAAAGGTATTTTATCCACTTACAACCTGCAACGTGACCAGCATTTAGCAATTTGTCTAATCACCCTGTCAAGCAATTGCATCCACTTACATCCTGCAACGCGATCATCAGTCAATAACTTGCCGAATCAGCCTGCCGAGCAAGGGTGTTGTATCCACTTACAACCTGCGCCGCCACCAGCAGTTAGCAATTTGCTTAATCAACCTGTCAAGCAAAAATATTTCATCCACTTACAGGCTGCAACACGACCAGCAGTTAGCAATTTGCTTAATCAACCTGTCAAGCAAAAATATTTCATCCACTTACAGGCTGCAACACGACCAGCAGTTAGCAATTTGCTTAATCAACCTGTCAAGCAAAAATATTTCATCCACTTACAGGCTGCAAGCCAACCAGCATTCAGCATTTTGCGTAATCAGCCTGCCAAGCAAAGTATTGCATCCACTCACTTCCTGAAACGAAACCAGCAATTAGCAACTCGCCTAATCAGCCTGTCAAGCAAGGGTATTACATCCACTCACAGGCTGCAACGCGACCAGCGGTTAGCAGTTTGCGTAATCACCCTATCAAGCAAAGGTATTGGATCCACTTGCCTTCTGCACCACGACCAGCAGTTAGTAATTTGCCCAATAAGCCAGTCAAGCAAGGGTATTGCATCCACTTACAGGCTGCAACGTGACCAGCAGTTAACAATCAGACTAAACAGCCGGTCAAGCAAAGGTATTGCATCCACTTACTCCCTGCAACGCGACCAGTAGTTAGCAACTTGCCCAAGCAGCATATCAGCATTGGTATTTCATCCACTTACAGGCTGCAACGCGACCAGCAGTTAGCAATTGGACTAATCAGCCTGTCAAGCAAAGGTATTGCATCCACTTACTCCCTGCAACGCGACCAGCAGTTAGCAATTTGCCCAATAAGCCAGTCAAGCAAGGGTATTGCATCCACTTACAGGCTGCAACGCGATGAGTAGTTAGTAAGCTCACAGTATACAAGTGGAAACTCTTTTGTGCGCTCACGATTTTTATTTCCACAGGCAAGCTAAATTCGAAACGTCCCTGCCCTTGAGGACTTGAAGCTGCAAAGGCCAGAGAAGGCACTAGCATGCCAAAGAGCATCATGGATCTCATATTGATAAAAGTATGAATTGGCGATGTAGGTAGACTCGAAAGTTATTTGAAGTAATTGAATATTTTGTGGGATGCCTATTAAAATATTCTGCTTAATAGTACCCTGTACCGAATAATAAGTGCCACATCGTAATGGATCTGAAATAGGTCATTCGAAAACTATGATCAGCTGAATGAATTTCCAAGTTTTATTGAAACCTATTCGAACATTGTGGCTTCCGGTGGCGATTCCAATTTTCGCCTTAGATAAGCTAGATGGCGTCAATAATGCTGTAGAAATTGAGGCTGTGGCCACCACTTAAAGTTCGCTTGCTAGAATAATGGGGAAGGAGCAGGTCGGGGGATGGGCTAGGCCAGATAGGCGGAGAGTCTAATCATAATAATTCGTGACAGGCAACCCAAAACCCGGCCCGTTTATGGGTTGAGTAGAACTTGTTACGACGGCTACCCGCGATTCGTATAATACGTAATGGCAGTCATAAGACGCAATCACACATCGCATCAATGATAATAGGAGTGGAACGGAAGGGAGAATTTACGTTTCGGCACCATGCAGAAGCAACATTATCTAACCTACTTGAGCTCCAGTGGCGGCAGAAGTAAGGTTTAAAGTTTAGACCTTTAGACCCAAAAATACGCTTATCACAAATAGAGATTCTACTCTCTGTCGCCGTTCTGAACATTTGCAAAGTGCTTGGGACCAACTGATCGCCCATAATTCTCCTTGGCATAACTCAACCACGGCTATTTACATTCGTTTCCGCAAGCGGAATATCAAAACTCGAAGACATCCCATTGGTAATTTCAATTAGCCTACCAAGCTTAATTAGCATGCCCATTGCGGCATCGAGAACAGGAAAACTGAGTCTTAACCTTAAGCCAACAACACGTCTCCGAGAAAATTGTGGGTAGAATTTCATAAGTCAAGCGGGGAAAGAAGCGAGCGATAAAAGACCAATCAATTAGGGCAAATAGCGCCTTAGAACGGATGTTTGTCTAACAAGTCTATACCGTTTGATCATAATGTTGTGGTCAGGGCATCTAGGCCTTGTAATGGAACCGCGGTGCAGTTCTAATATTTTTGGAACCGAACCGCGGAGCGGTCGAACCGGAGGTTCCACAAACAGGACAAACCCTATTCTGTGATATGCGTATTTTGTGCATATTTGACTGTCTTTTTGGGTATTTCGCTTACAGAATAGTTCAAAGGTCAGATAAAAGCCTAGATGGAAGGTATATTGTATGTAAAAGTCTGGCGTTTCTTACACAAAATCCTCATCTCGCCTTGAACGCTTTGGAAGTCGTCCTGATGAACGCCTCTGAGTATTTCTCTCTCCCTGTATATGGGTACAGGTAAAGGAGCATCCACTCCATCTAGTTCAATCACATGCTCTTGGCCTTCTGTACTGTTTTCTTCCCCTGGTGTTTTACCAAGCACATGCTCACTGACCGGTTGGACGGTTTGAGATATGGCTGCTGAAGGCTCATCCTCGCTGTCACCGATGAGGTTAAATTCAATCTCTGCCTTCCGAGCATCATTTTCCTCCCTTTCTGCTTGCGTCTATTGGGTGGCGAGGTAATCATCCATCAGGGAAAGCTGTGCAGATTCCAACTCGGTTATGTATTGCCTAAAACAGTGTTTAATAAGAATGAAGATTTAAGCTGAGTCATCAATTTAGCAATCGCGGTTCCATGAGGTTCGAACCGTGACAGAACCGTGTAGAACTGCGGTTCGGTGCAGTTCCTTATATCTTAGAACCGCAGAACCGCACCATTTCGAGGGCTACAGGCATCACGGTCTAGAAAATGCCAAGAATAACATTGACAAAACAACCACATGTATGGACGGCTTCTAAACTAGCCTAGCTTTCGGCCTTTGAATCCATGGTGTGAAACGGTTATGACGTATTATCCCCCCAACCAAAAACAGCAGATAATAGATAACAATGATGTAATTGATAAAAATGAGTTCCATTTACGACCAATATATCCATCAGCCTACATCTCATCCAGCTCAGAATTCCCACGGTCATCCAGAAAATTGAGACCTTAGCATGGGGTCACTTCTTACTCTGCGCCGGTTCGGGTTACTCAATGACCTACAATGACCCAAGATGGTTCTTATTTCAAGGTTCAGTATCACGAAGTTTAGATCTATGGTTATTCCTTCAGTCCCGTGCTATCACTAGACCCTTCATGAGATGTGATCCTAGGCCTAGGCCTTCAGTGGCAAAAATTATGCTTTGAGGTAGAATATCTGTCCGAAAACGGAAATCTGGAAAAAGAGAAACGTCTCTTAAGGACGTTAATCTATAAAACCCATCTGAAGTCGTATCCGCACACTTGCAGTTTAGAGAACTTAAGCACACAAGATTTCAAATCTGATACGTACAGTATCTCAATCTATTTGTGTGCATTTACAATCTATTCAAATCGACGATGAGTGACGCGAAGTCTTTTCAAGTCGGTAAGAACGCTTCTAACTTCATTGGTTTTCAATACCATGGCTAAGCAGCTCAGCGGAAATATTCGCAATCTCGAAGGTTGGGGAGGGGGACTATATATTTGAAGATGTTCCGCAGGCAAGGGCAGATGCCCCAGCATTTCTGGGGAAGGAAAATATTGATTACGACAACGATGTTATAAAGGTAGGCCTTCGTCCTCCCCTAACTTCCATCTTCCCGGAAGACCGCGGAAACAAATAATGAAATTTTCCAACAGGTCAAAGGCTGGATTGATACAGAGACATTTGACTACTATTTCACCGTTTGGGTTGTTGGTAAAAATGCTGGAACCTGGCAGGGCAAACTTGACATAGCATTGAAATTTGGTTTCTCTGCTGGACAGTTGAAAGGATCCGTCACATTTTACGTAAAGGATGGACATCAATTGAGAGTTGCCGTTGATCTGAAAATCAAGTTTGACGGAAGCATCAAGAATGATTGGCTGATCATCAAGTGGTGAACTTTTCACAGTTGAGGCTTTTTGTGGATTAAAAAGTGTTTTTCTTGAAATTGGCTTGTGAATTCACGACTGGTATTGTTGGCTGCGGACGGGGACAACTGAATGTATTTGTCGCTGAGAGGTTTTGATTTTCCATGTTTCCAAAATAGCTCATCAATCATACTTTATCTCATCCATCATACTTTTGTATTTCTCGGCTTGCGTGGTGTTGCAAACTTTCCTTCAGATCGACTGACAGTTCAGGCAGAATTCTGAGGATATCTGAAGCGTACCTGCCATTTTCGAGCGTTGACTCATTGATTTAACGAAGAACCTTTTCCTGTCATTGTTTTAAGGCATTTTGCTGGTCATGGTCCATAACTACTGATGACCAACCTCACGAGAGAATGTGACCCTAATGACTTCCTAGAAATGCCTATCCTTTTCTAGGCAAGGAGCAAATGAGCTTTTTAGGGGTGGGGGTTCTGTAGTGGCTAGCACATGACTTTGGGTACTTCGAATCATGGCCTCGCTGTTCTATGGTGTCAAGATGAGAAACGCGAGCAATATAGTTTAAAATGTGGGCCGGAAAAAATGATAGGTGATCGTTGAGCCGCTGAACCATTTTCAATACGTCATAGAGTTCTTTGGGGTCCTTTGATCCACCGAAATTCCTTAACACCAAGTCCGGGATCACCGCGGCCCGAAGAACCTTGTTCAAAATGTAAACTTCGCGCCCCTCCAAGACGATGATTCGTTAAAAGATGTCGAAAGCCAGGCATACTGTATATGGTTCAATTTGCCTGGATCCCTGCCAGATTGTCATCAGTCAGATTCAAGCTCCAATAGCGAGAAATAAATGATATTGAGGACAACGTATCTAATAAGTGACTGATCATATTAGTGGAAACAAATGGGCCAAAAATCCAATTACACAATTTTATTTTATGGTGATTAAGGATAAGTCAAAGCCCTACCTTATCTAAAAACAATGTTTGGTGACAGTTTGAACATATTAGCTTTGAGAAAGACAATTAGGTTGAGGGCACTATTTTACTAAACAGGCAGTTGAGTGGTGGTAGGGAGAGTGGAGCGTAGATTCGACGCCGAGGTTTGAAGTAAACAGTTGTTTGTATTTACTCGTTTTGCACACCATCACAATGCTCTAAGATCTCAATATCCGTTTTACCAGACCCACCTTGGCCGGATGGGGCAAGCAGGACACTTCCTGCCGAGGTGGATAAGGTAAGCCGGATATGACCAGAAAAATCAGATTCAATGACTGAAAAATAATTGACGAGATTAACTCCCGCATCGAATCACCACTTTCCTCTCTCTTCCGTGCAATTTGGTTAACAAACAGATTTGATTACCACCCCCAAGCGTTTTCTGTGCGCAAATCTTACTTTTCCGCTTCCCAGCCATATTGAAATGTTTACTCTTGGCTGAAGCGCATTTTCCAAGTAGAGGCTAGAGCTGCCCACTCATTTTTAGCCATCGCTGCGCACGTAGAACTCGCCTTTTCACGATTGGATCTTTCATCTGACACTCAGCCCCATGCTTAACCAAGTATCTTTTAACCGAACCGTTGGATGCATCTAGCTGAAAAGCTATTTCTAGCGCGGTCACTGTACAGTGGTTGGTTGGTTGGTTGATATCATTTACCCTGACCCCTCGCAATGAAAGGTTGAAACCCTGGATTGACGTACAAGTGTGATGATCATTCTCAAACTATGTGAGTAGGTGCAGCTATTTGTAGCTGCCTTCTGCTTGGAGTAGTGGTGGCAGCCTACTAGGCTGCCACTACAGTATAACTATACATCACGTGACCTGGGATCCTACTTGAAAAGCGATATGCAGGCCACCTCGACTATACTGGTGACGCGCGCTGCGCACGCTGTGGCCCTGAAACGATGAAAAAGGGCAGGGACAAAGTAGGTGGAGGAAAAAATGTACGTTGTTTTGCTTAATTGACAGTTGATCATGCAGATGAGCAGTGACAAATGAGAAGGCAGCCAGTATTACTGATAGCCGAAACGCCTCAACCTAGAAAAAAGGAACCCAATAATCTGATAATCAACCATCACTCTTTGATTGTGTATGATGTTTTACGTTTTCTTCGAGAACGCCTCTCTGGGGGTGGTGTTGCAGCAGGTGGCGAGTGTTCGTTTTCGTCAGTGGTTTCTGGCCATGTAATTTGTGTGGATTCTTCATCCTCCTCATCTAGCGCAACCACTTCAGGTGAACGTAGTTGCGGATGGGTAGGGAGCGATTCAGTCCGCGAACTTGGCGCCGATTTGCTCGGGGTTTGAGGGCCAGCCCTTTGAGACCAACGGTCTACACGTTTCCGTTTACCAGTCGAAGAAGGGGTGGCGGGTAAAGGATGACTCGGTCTTGGGAGGAAATGTATATCGTCAGTGACGACCGCTAATTGGCGACGTTCTTTTGTGAGGCCGAAAATGCGACCTGTCAAGAAAACATAGGAATTGGGGTTCAGTGGTGGAAAGTTCGCCCATCGCTGAACATTTTTGAAGTACGCGGTGACTGGAAAGGTGTGGTAGGTTCGAGCAGAACTGTTGTACACAGTAGTTTGGAGACGTTAATGCAGAAGAGTTGGCCCGTCGTTTAGTTGACCACCGCGTTCAAGTACAATACCAAGGAATGTCACCGTAGGTTGAGCGGCTTCGGGACAGTGCATGAAATATATATCAGTGTTGTCTTCATCACCCGGATGACTAGATCATGTTAGCTTAGTTGTGTGGCAGTTAAGGCAAACTCACCGGTCTAAAGTGTGAGCGTGGATGATAACATGAAAATCATCGTCATCGGATGAGGTGGTTAGGAAAGATCCCGAGGAGTAGATGAAGGTGTTTGACTTATAAAGGTCGGACTGGTTACCCTCGTTAAAAAATCTAAGCAATGTAGGAATTTCGTCTTGTTCCACGTCGTCTGATTGAATGTCCTTTAAAGGTATGTTGAGTGATATACGGAGCTGCATCGAAAACCCTTTACCGGGACGCGTAGGGTCCGGCTCGACCTGCTCGACGAAGTCCCGAATATGAATAATAGCTGGACAAGTCGAATTTGAAGCCATATCGAAATCTAGCGTACATGAAATCTAGATAGAAAATGTGACTCAAACATCTAGAGAGGGTATAGAGGGCATGAAATGAGTAGAGGGTAAGAGGGGTTCTTGTGGGAATGCCCACGGTGTACCGTGGAGGAAGATCCCTGTTGTCGGTACGAATCTGCATATGATACGTCCCGTGTACATGTCACTACAAGTTCGAGGAAGAAAGCTAGTGGATGATTTTAGGTTTTGCTAATCGCCATCTACGTAGATAAGACGTGGTGATAAATGATTCGTGGAGGTGCTAGTTAACGAAGTCTGGGTTACGCGTTCTACCATTAGCAGTTTAGGGTATCCTCTATCCGCGCACATCGTAGACATGCACATGGACAAATACATGTTAGAAGTGATCGTCCCGGTCACATAGAGTGCCCGGCTTTTACGGTTACAACCGTCGGAAATGTTAGTGTGTAGCAGAACCTGAATTCCCGTGGTTGAGTGCTTCGTTGAGGGTTAAAAGGCTTCTTATATATATATTCTGGGCTAGGCGAGAAAGGAACAGAGATGTGCAGCCTGGATGGATATAGAGGGAATGACCTTTTGACGAGAATCACGATGTTGATAAGTGGCTAAATAATCTAGGAAATGAAGTAGCTAACGCTCCCATTCATCTAGTGTCATTCTTTGCAACTCGTGAAGTCTCTGCATTTCGGCGATTATCCGTGGATCGGGTTCAAATTGGAGGTCGTTTATTTCGATTTGCTGCAGAAGATGAAGCCCTTCGCGCGTTCGCAATCACGATAATTGTACGTAGTTCGAGCAGAACTTCTGGTGACGGTCTCGACCACGCATCGTCGGGTCATCCTTGAGGTCAAGGATCGCAGAGTCAAGAGTAGACCCCTGCACTTTATAATCGGTAATGCAGAACGCAGGGCACATAGGGACTTGGGCATTTTTGTTCTACATCGAGCACATGTACCGATACGCAAGCTTGGTCAAACCCCAATTTCCAATTTCCATGGATTTCAATATTTCAGAATAGATTACTCCGTACTCCTGGGAGCTTTCCGGATGATTCAAAAACTGTGGCAGGCGGCGTCTCCGCCTGGATGATCCTGGGAACGTCCGACTTTGCGCCATTTTGTTGACATGTGTAAATCTCCTTCACAAAATCGCGACTATCTAGATTCCTAGGAACTTCAAGCGTAAGTAGAACTTGTGATCATGTCCTAGAGTCAAGTGGTGTGAATTTCACAATTTCACTGAGGGTTCTATATTTAAGCCTCCTCTGCAAAGTAATCGCCCTCCGTCGGATTATATCACCAGGAAGGTGAACCACTTCTGTCACTGTTCAATATCCACTTTATCACGCGAATAGTCTGAAATGGTCTTGTGCGATTCTATGGCTGTCCCTGAGTCAGGGACGTTCGCCAATCCCATATTGATCGAAGATGAGTCCGCTCTGCCAGACTCGACTTCTAAATCCAACATGACCCAGGTTGAGGAGGATTGGCTTCGCGATGAGCCAGACCATCTCGATTCTGATGCCGACACTGAGATAATGACTACACCAGAATTTTATGGATCTTTGACTGGTGGAAATGTTGCCTACCCAGGGAAGCATGAAGCAGCCATCGATTCGTCCTCTTTACATGTGTCCAACAGATCGATAGACTCTGAGGATCCAAAAGGTCTTCAGTCAGTCGAACAGCTTCAGTCAGGCCACCAAACATTGAAAGTCACTCAGAATCTATGTGACGACCCCTTAGGTGCTGCAGGGAGTGAGGGCTTTGCGATCAAAGGTTCGCTTAGTTGATAACAATCACGTTCTTGCATCTCGCCAACGGTCTCATGGGATTTTTAATACTCGAATCTGTCGGGCCACAGCGCGAACAGGGGGCCAATTGGCGGCATGGCTCCACAGGGCGAATTCATATTGAACTTTATAAGGACTGGCCAATTTTAGCCTCGGATTATGAGGAACGACAAGAGTTCTTTGAGAGTGTTGTTCTGAACTTCCATTCGGACACGGTAGACCCAAAAGTCTTCCTCACCTGCTCCGCACTGTCTTCAGCCGAGCACAGTCCACATTCTCCCGCGCGAAGTAACAGTGAACGTGCACCTTCGGTGACTAGCGAAACTATTACCCTGGAAGTAACGGAAAAGGCTGGTTTCTCTGAGGAAAAACTGCCACTTATCTCCTCTGCGGGATTTCTGAAACGCAAACTTTTATACGACGATCAAACTGAACCGAGGCGGTCGGCGAGATTGGCCCAAAAAGATAAAATTCAGCAATGATAGTTATGTATTGTGGAGGACATCAAGCATCTGTTTGGTATGTTTCTCGAGAAGACGCTGCTCGATCTTACCAACAAAGAACCTCCAAACACTCCTGTCTCCCAGGACCAGTTCCCACCCGGCCCCAACATGGTTCGACTGAAGCAGTTGCTGGTCAAGCTCACCCGCCATGAATGTGCTTCAGCTGAACTGTCTGTGGCAGCCAAGCCTGCTCAGTCTTGTCCAGCAAGATAAACAGGAGGTCACTCAGGTGGCAGATGAACTTGATCTCGACAGTCCGATCTGTACTACCCCGGACGATTTCAAATCGTTTAAAGTGGGCCTCGACACCCCAATTCAAGGCGGTCGTGGAAACGTATAAGCCGCCAACTCCCTTTTCCATTCCTTTCAGAAACTGGCTGATATGGGTGTAGTTGGGACAAAGAAGCATGCAAATACAAGATAGCAGAGCCAGTGGAGACCAGCAGTGGTCTGGACGACTACGCGGAAAATGCATTCATTGTGGGTGAACGTGTCGGTACGTATGTCTTTGTGCAAGCGACCGAACCAATACTAATCACATGATTAGATCGGAATTTTGAGGTGACGCCTTACAAAGACATCAAATCGGAAGGCCTACGCGACATCCTGCATGAGGTGCTTCATGACATCAAAGCTATTAGCCTCATGGAGGACAAGCCATCGGTAATTGAGACTGAGTAGATCTCGAAGAGAACGCTGACGTGGATTTAGATCGAGCAAAACGTCCTCTTCCATTTCCTCCCAGAGCTTAATAGAAGTGCAGAAAACATAGACAATAGTTCGGACCAGGACTCGGCACATGGGGAACATCTGCGCCTGCTTATCGACCACCTCAAGCACGCATATGCTTCTATCTCGAAGCGTCTCGAACCAATGTTGCAGCACGGTCATGTTACATATGACCTTCTTTGGGCGCTTTTCAAGCCTGGTTGCCATGTTTATACCACATGCCTTGGCACAAAAGAGCCGCGATGTGTCAGATTTGACGCGGGGGAAGAGATCACACAAAACGACGAGACGAGGCGGAATCTCGAATGCCGATTCATTGATTATGACGGAGTCAAGGCCGGCGAGGCCGGAAATTTCATGCTCGTGGCAAAGTTCCAAGGGGTCAAAGCCGATCGAGAGCCTGGAGGCCTCCCCTCTCCAACATCACCCAAATCACGAGCAAGTCCGGAAGGACTTAGTCAAGCGAGGGCAAAAGTTTCGGGATTTGGCTGGTTCGCACACTCGGCACTGTAAAGGCAAAGGATTCTTCATGAACAAGGGAAAGGTTGTCGAAGTCAACGTGAACAGTCGAGTGGCAGTGGACGCCGCATTTTTCCATGAAAAGCAGCCGAACTACTCCCGACCGTCACTCCGCGACCTAGGGGTCAAAGACAAGAATGGAATTGCAGTTTTTGACATAGGTGCGATACTCATGGAGGACGCGAGCGAGAGAAGGAGAAGATGCAAGGAGACGGTGTGGACGCACAGAAACTGAGCGAGACCGATTTCTTGGTCGCCTGCCCAACAGTATGCTGTTTTAGTTTCAAGGAGAAAATGTTCTGTATGTGAGACGACCCACAATTGCTCGGAGTCTGGCTAATTTGATTCTAGTGGAGTGCGCAGTCAGTGCTCTGAGGGACGTGAATTGGTCACCCGAATCGTTCGACTGCCTGCAAATCCCTTCAGAGAACAAGACACTCCTCTTGTCAATGGTGAAGTCCCGCCTAGGTCTGATAACGACGGTACCATTCGACGACGTAATTGATGAAAAGGGCCAAGGACCCAACATCCTTTTGAGGTATGTCAGCAAGTGTCTATACCATCCCGTGACTTGGAGCCTAACTTGTGTTAGTGGCCCACCGGGTGTCGGAAAGACATTCACGGTTGAGGCAACCTCGGAGTATTTCAAACGCCCCCTCTAGTCACGCTGACTGTGCGGTCCTACTTACTTCCCCAGATATCCGCAGGCGAACTTCTTGTTGAGTTGTTGACCATGGAGATTCTCATGCACTTGACTCACAGCTTGAGGTCATCTTTAAGATCGCAAAGCACTTTAAGGCTATACTTCTTTTGGATGAAGCCGATGCGTTCATGGCAAGTCGCACAGCGCTCCATGATAACCACAATCGACTGGTAACCATATTCTTGCGAAAGCTGGAATAATATCAGGGAACACTGTTCTTGACTTCGAACCGGGGTATCCAATTTGATGATGCAATCTTGAACCGGATCCATTTAACCATGGAGTATGAAAATTTGGACGAAAGAATTTCGCAGAGATCTCTGGTCGACTTTTCTGTCCAAAGCATGTACAATGCAAGGACCTGCGCTAGTTGAGGAGCACGACCTTCGACGATTGGAGTTTCTAGCTCTGAATGGACAAGAGGTAGGTGACTGAGCGCTGCCCTGGACGGCTCCCTTGCGGACAAATCGTGAACTAGATCAAAAACATCGCAGCAATTGCACGCTCTCGCTGAGGCTGACCTCAACCAGGCGAACTATACAAATACTTGGAGTTAGCTGCGGAATCGAATAAGAAATTTTCGAAGGAGTTTGGTCGGCAAGGCATGGTTGACGGAATGTATCTCTAGCAGCGTACCCAGGAAAGTCATGTTGATAATTCAATTGCTCAATTCTGCGGAGCCCAGATCCAGACAAAGAAGTATCGAGGATTTGTGGCGTAATGTCTTGCATTGTCTTCAAATGAACAGCCAGAATCTTAAGGTACTGCCATATCGCAAAATTCCATCCTTTTCAAGCCCTGCTTATATTTCCTTGCACCGACGCAATGATTGCGCCATGTATTACCAGACGTGGGTTCAAGGGCCCGAGGGCGTTTCAACCATTTCATATCCTCCAAGTCAACGACAAACAAACGGCCGCCCAGGTCATCCCATAACATGTTACGCCACTCACTGTCGCCGTGGATGACTCCGCGCGACCGGAGCACAGCCAGTGCTTTCTCGCGCTCTTGGTGAAAGAAGCTGGAATTCCGATCATTGATGACATGCTGAAGCCGCGTCCCAGACCAGCTCAAGACCATCATCTGGGCCATCAATTCGCCGTGGTACCAATATGCAATGCGAGGCTTAAATTCCCCAAGGCAGACAGGGATGTGTTGTCCTTGCAAGCTCCCGAGACGGTGATAATTGTCCACTTCCGCTTGGAGGCGATGCTGCTTCTCCACAGTCGTAGCTTTTATGACCACAGTGTATCCGCGTGAAAGAAGGGTGGCTTTCATGAGGTAGCCTGTCCGACCACAGATGTGCAATTGTTCGAAGCCCAGGTCTCGATTTCGGACAAGTTGACGGTGAAGCTGGCGTGTGAACTCTTGCGGTCTCATAGAGTGTCTCTGACCACCGTGAAGTTTCCAGTTGGGGCATTTTTTATCTAGGGGTTCACGGTTGACCATGCCACGGATGCAGGCAATGGTGCAGTATGGTCGTGTAGAATGCCCGTCTTTCCGAGAAGTCTGTTTTTTATCCCGGCCCGCTCGTGTCCTTTCGCTTCCCTTAGTTGATTGACGGCTGTTACCTCGGCTGCGGCCTAGTCGGCTACGCGACGCTGCGGCAGCAGATGGCGATTGCGATTCTTGATCGCTGCCGCTGCCTTCGGGCGACGAGTACCTTGGTGAAGATGCGTCTGGCTGACAGCGGGCGCGAGAGCGTGTGTTGTGTACTTTCCGATCTCGTTTCCAATGCGATGGCCGATAATTAGAGGACCTCGGATCTTTACGGAGAGTTTCGGGTATTTCCTTCAACACGTCGAGATATTCGACTTCCCAGGTCGTTAGCTTGTCGTGTGCCACATCGTGCCACTCTTGAGGAGGAGCTTCTGCGGCTAGCGCTTGAAGGGTGAACGCAAGCACCTGCCCGATAGCAGTCCGGTGGAGGCGTAATTCATCGTCCGGCTGCACGTCTTGATTCGGGATACACAAGAAATATTGAACAATCGTGGGGTCGTCTTCCGGGATATGCAGGAAAACAAAGGCCTCCCCGGTGCAAATATAGCCGTATCGAACTCCGCTGTCGATCATGTATGAGAATATTTGTGTGACCACGGCGGCGACAAGACGGGTGGCATAAAATTCAAATGTGTCACCTTCTTGGTCGATGACATCGCGAGCCAGATCCATTTGGTGTAGACCCGCCACTAATTCGGGTTTTGTCACCTTGTGCGGCGCTTTGAACTCCACCGCATACACCGGTATTTGTCGTTCATCAGCGACGAGGTGCACGCAGAACTGGTCGGCACGCCGATTGCGTCTTCGTGCAGTGCCATCCCTCTTCTGTCTCTGCGTCGCTCCTCTCCCCTCTCCTCTGCCTCTTCCATGCGTATTATTCGCCGGTCGTTGGGGTGTCCGCGCGTCCTGAAGGTTCATTTGCTCCAGGCTGTTCTCCAGCGAGGTTTCCGATGGGTTTGCGCGATCGTAAAAGGTGACTCGGCCTTGGATTCTGAACTCATGTCGAAGGGTTTCGTCCTCTCGCAAAGCCTTGATGACCTTTTCGACAAAGTTATCCACCGTGTCTCGCTCAAAATTCCGAAGTGATGCTTCCGAATAGATCGGCCCGTTCTGGATATTCGTAACGACATAATCGATTTGGGTATCAGAAGGGAATAGTGGGCGGGAGATAAAGGCGGTGCGGTCGAATTTCCCCCAGACTTGTTCCTGTAGTTGGGGGAAGTCAAGCCAAGGGATGATGTGCTTCGGGTAGAGTCGGTTTACAGGGTCGGTCGCGTCGCCCTGGGTCGTGAGGGTCGCATCCGTCTCAACTCGGATTGCTTGGGACAGAGAGTTGTGGCAGCGATCAAGGAGGCGCAATAGTGTGTTGGGTTGCAGTTGCTCTTCTGCCTCTTCTCGCGCCTGTCTCTCTTCCTCTTCTCGGCGCTCTGCCTCTTCTCGCGCCTGTCTCTCTTCCTCTTCTCGGCGCTCTGCTTCTTCTCGCGCTTGTCTCTCTTCTTCTCGTGCTTGTCTCTCTTCTTCTCGCGCCAGCCTCTCTTCTGCAAGTTGACGTCGTAACTCGGCGATTGTTTCTTCCATCCCTTGTCGAAAGAAGTTTCATCAGATAATCGCATCAGATAATCGAATGACCCGAACTCGAAGTCGACGGAGCAAAGCGGCCGCCGTCAGATATGTGGAACGATTTGTTGCAGGAGAATGCGCACCTTGGGGTTTACCAGCTTACTCATCCTCCTGGGTCGAGTTGTTGTCGAACACAGATGGGGCATAATACCACTAGACCAAAAATGTGCCATAGTTAGGTGACATTCTTAGTCATACCGGCTGCTTCTTGTTGTGACAGTTGTTTGCTGCCTCAGGCACTAACGCGCTTTGACCTTTCGTGCTGATTTTCAGTCCCTAGTTGCAGACTGTCCTCCGTACGTCGATTCAATTGTGGTGCCTAGACTGGCCTCGTCAGTGAAGTGGAGTTCTTCTTTGGGCAATTCATTAAGTACAGCCACCGTGCAGAGGATCATTATCTCAATTGCTACAGTCGCAAGGCCCTGCTTTCCGTTAAACCAGTCAAAACCGCGCCGCGCATAAGATATGTTGCGTGATGCCGCTGTGAGTACAGTGTGTGTGTGTGTGTGTGTGTGATATCATTTACACTGACCCCTCGCCAAAGCGATATGCAGTATACGACAACTATATATCCGAGTATGTACACATAGAGTGATCCACTTTTTGACATGAACTTAGAGCCTCGTCACGGCCTATCGTGGCCCATTACCGCTCCCGTTGTTAGGCTGCCCTCGTGGCGCGGCTATAGTAGAATCGCGGATGAGACGGATAACAATTATCCGATTTTGGTTGCATCTCTCTTAAGAACCGCGAGAAAGCGGGCAAAGCAGAAGCTAAGAATTTGGATAGTGACTGTGTGGCTGATACGTTCTTGTTCCGAGTTCGGTGACGGCTCGTCTTCTTCCCAATTTGGAACGGGGACGGTTTATTGTGGAAACGGCGGTGAAGATCTTCAATTGTGAGTACGGGTTTAGCGGGAATGATAGGTTCTTGCGTTGGAGAAGTTGATTCTGATGGGGATGCGGGAGATTGTTGGAGGACGGAAGCATAGGTCGTTTGTTGGTTTCGGGGTGAGGAGGTGATGGTTGTTATTGGTTGAGGAGAATCGGGAGAATGGTTTGGTGGGGTTGTTGATTGCTCTTGATCGGTTGTGGCTGGGGGCGGCTTGGCGCACGAGTCGATGCTAGTGTTCGCGGGTTCCTCTCTGGCGGCAGGCGTTGTTCGTGTTGGACGGGTCGGTGTCTGTGTGCTGGCGTCGGTGGTTGTCTGCTTGAGAAGTTCGACATCTGAGGTAGGGCGGTGGTTTGGTGTTGATTGTATAGGCGGAGGGGGTGCGGTGGCCGGAGGAGGGAGTTTGTCGGTAGGTTCGAGGATTAGTTTCAGCTCGTTATATATGACCTCCCATACGCAGTCGTTAACATGTAGTCGCTGTCTTTCTTGGAGGGGTTCGTGCTGGAGGCTTCCCAGGCGTACGAATGCTTGACAAGCAAAGCAGCAGGCTATGTCGCTGAAAGGTGCGTTCGGTTCATAGTAGAAGCCGGCGCGGGCCAGTTCGAGCGGAGTGACGCCATTGAGCACTTGTCCTTGGAATGACCGAGCTCGCGCTTCGATGGTGGAAAAGGGGGTCGAGATGAAGTGTTTTTCCCGGGGGACACGGGGTGGGGTGGGTGTTTTGAGTGGAGCAGCGGGGTTTGAGGGATTCGAGGTGGAGGAAAGGTGGCGGCGAGTAGACTGAGGGGTTTTGATGTTTCTTCTGGAGTCCCCCATTTCGATCCCAGCCTTTCCTGTGAGTACAGTGGTTGGTTGGTTGGTTGATGTCATTTACGCTGACCCCTCGCTCGAGAGCGATATGCAGCATACGACTACTATATATATATATATATGTTTACGTACATGTAGAGTGTTCCACTTCCTGAAAAACGAACTTAGAGCCTCGTCAAGGCCTGCCGTGGCCTAACTGCCATTCCCATTGTTAGGCTGCCCTCGTGGCGCGCGACTCCAAAACCGATGTGACGCCTCGGCGAAGTCTAAAACGGCCTTGACCGTTTTTGCCCTTGAGACGGTGTCTGGTTTACCTCTCTTACCTTCGGCTGAGCCTCCCAGCAGGCTCGAGACGCTTCTGAACGCGTCCCCCACTTCCCTCCGTAACTCCATTCGAATATCCCTCAAAAGTGGACAATCCACTAGTACATGAGTGACAGTTTCTTGTGCTCCGCACACGCAGTAGTCGTCGTCACGGAAGCCAAATTTCTTGGCGTAGGTAGATAGCCAGTTGTGGCCAGTACGAAGCTGCGTTAACAGGTACGCCCGGTTTCTGGGTAGGTTCCCATATAGCGTCCTCGTGTAAGTCGCTGGTAGAGTGCCGTCAATCTTTCGTAGGTGACTGCCTTTGCTGGACGATCTCCATTCCTGCTCCCACTGGCTGAGAATATTGACGCGCAGGCGTGCATTCTCTCGAGAGAGTAGCGGGCGGAACGAGTGGGTTTTACCTGGGCACGCGGCGTTTTTGGCTAGTCGATCCGCAGCGTCGTTTCCAGGGTTGTTGCAGTGCCCTGGCACCCATTGGAGACGGAGCGCAACTCCCTCGGCTTGAACCTCTGTGGCAGCTTGTAGGATCGCATGCACGATCCGTTGGCCCGATTTGTTCCTTGGGGTTTGAGTTGCCTGCAGGGCTGACCTACTGTCGCACAGGATCGTTGCCGTTCTTTGTCTGCTGTCCAAGATTGACTGTTGATAGGCGATCTTGATCACCGTGCTGATCGCGTAGAAGATGCCGATGAGCTCCGCTACGTGAACCGACCATCGGTCCGTTGGTCCCACCTGGACCTGTTGTGATTCGACAACCTGCAGGTTGTCGTCGAGTGCCACTACGGCCGCCCCCAGATGACCCTCGCGTCCAGAGGCATCTGAGTAGACAACAATGTCCGACGCAGATCGTGCGGTATCGGCTCGCTCAACGGCCGTTTCTCGGTCCGACCCAACCTCAATCTCCGTAAAGGGTTCGTCTCGCCACGGAGCCAGTGGGCTTGGGTCAATCGTTTCCAGCTCAACCAATCTCTGCACGTCCATGGTCTTTAGGGCTTCCGCTAATGGGAACCGGGCGTAGTTTCCGATATTGTTCCTCCGTCTCTGGGCTCGGAGGAGCGCGTTCCAAATAGGATGCTTGCGAGGAAGAGTGTGGAGTCTCGCGATAGTGTGTTGTGCTCGGCGGCGGAGGCGGAGGTGTGTTGGGAGGACGTGCGCTTCTACTTCTAGGGTGGTGGTCGCTACCGTTCTAAACGCCGATAGGATTCGAACCAGAGGGGCTCTCTGCACTGTGCTTAGGTGGCGCAGGTGTGTTTTATCACGCAGCGGGTCATGCCAGACTGTTGACGCATAGTCTACTACTGGTGTGACGCATGCTTGATAAATATGTCGCATCTGTTCTGGGCGCAGATGTCGTAGTCCAGCTAGAGCGATAGCCACCTTGGTGGCACGTTTAATGGCTTGTTGTACGTGCTCTTTCCAGCGTAACTCATGGTCGAAAATCACGCCTAGTAACTTGGCTGTGGGGGATGGTTTGACTGTCTTCCCGTTTATGACTACTTGGCCTTGCAATTGCTCGCGTTTTTTCCTGGTGAAGTGGATAAGCTCGGTCTTTTCGGCCGCGAAGCAGGACCCTGTCCGTTGCGCCCATGCTTCGATGCGAGGGATGTCCTCGGACTGAATTTTGGCCACGTTCTCCTCTGCCGAGCGGCCTACTCGCCAGCGGAAGTAGTCATCTATAAAGGCTGATGCACCACCACGAAACGTGACCGGTTGATCGACGAGATCGGAGTTAAAGAATGTGAACAGAATTGGTGAGAGTGGCGAGCCTTGCGCGAGTCCCGCGTTGACAAGTAGCGTGATCTCGGTACGGAAGTCATCAAATCCTATGCTGGCATAGCGATCGCTCATAAAGCTCGTAATCCATTTCCTAGCAGCGGCTGGGATCCCCTTTGCTCGGAGGCGGGCGTCGAGGCCAAGAGACATGACTACACAGCCAAGATTGCCCGTGGCCAAGCCTTAACGAGTTCTTGGAACTGATGTAAAGCAGCTTCACCAGGCCCGCTTGTTCAGGCCACTGCCCTGGTTTTCGGCACGCGCATCTTTCGATGGACGCCCTCCAGATATTGAGGCCCCGCCAAAAACCACTCACCCCAGGTGTCTCCAGGTTTGCTCCTTAAGCATGCATCATCAGCATTTCAGCTAGAACGACATCACATCCATCGCCCAGCCGCAGGTTCTCAGTGCGAGTGAGATAGTAAGACAGGTCGGACCTGCACCACTAGGACGACACCACTTTGGCTGGTTAATTTCAGGTCCTCAGTGCGAGTGAGGTAGCTGTTTCTGTCTATTTGCACACCGACACGCGCGTCCGTCCTCTCGGGCCACATAGACAGTCTCGTCGGGTCCTCTCGACTCGTCCGTCACTGCCATTATGTGCCACGCCCCACAAGGAGAAGTCTCCCTGCTTCGCGTTACCAGCCGAGATCTCTCTCTGCCGGCCGACCGTGTCTCGCAAAGGCTGCTAGTAGTATCCCCATTGGCCTTGCAGGATACCCTCGCTGTCCTTCACTAACCAAGCTTGTGTCCCTGGCTTTGCAGCCCTCTCGAACACCCGTGGCTGTGCCTTAACGAGTCCGTCGAGGGTCGTCGCCAGACTGTGCATCCCGCTTGGATGAGGCCACAGGCTGTCCAGATCAGAGTTGCCCGTAGCTTCGCTTTAACGAGGTTCCGACCCAGGCCATTCCATGGAGCTCCCGAACGGTCTATTCAGTCTGCTGCGCCGCCAGTTGTATTCCCCCTCGCCGCTCAACGCCATATTGTGTGTTTCCATTTGTTCGTCTCGTCTTTCGTGTGCTGTCTTCGTTGTTTTCCTCGTTCAAGTTCGTAGGGCGTCTCGCGATCTCAGAGGGTGTTCAAGCTCAGAGGTGTCCTGTCTCCTGCCTAGGCGATACCACAACCACTGGAGAACAAGTCCAGCTTCGGTCTCGAGTACGAGTCGAGTAGGCAGTCGTCGGATGGTTTTCATAACCCGTTTTCCTCTGGTTTGTGTGGGGTGGATGGGGTGTCGTCAACCACGGAAAACTCTGCGGCCCGACCCCTATTCACCCCACGCGGATTCTTTTGGCTTCCCCTCCACGAAATGAGAGGGTACTGACACCGGACACCACGAGAAGGTAGAAATCCATCGTCCTAACTGCTTGACGAGAGCAATTACCTGGCGTGCTCGCCAGGGGCCCTGTGAGTACAGTGCCGACCGTTATTGCCTTCCATATCCAGGAACACAGGCATACTTTTTCAAACCCTAATCACATGACATGCTAACCCAATATGAATTTAGAGTAAATTACCAGTCTGGTACATACATGGTAATAATACGTAGTGTTATGTAATTGTGACGGTTAGTCGCAGGCCATTTCCAGCCGCCTTCCTGAATGTTCCACTCAGGGCAACTTAACCGGTAAAGAAGTCACGTGATAAAAAGCCATGAGGATGCCCCTCATTCAGCAGAGAGACCTGGAATCTTAGGAGCAATATTAGGCATGCTGTGTTACATTGACCATGTCATCGACTATTTTTTCTGGCACAAATGATGGGCTCCAAATTGGACACAACCAGGGTCCGATTGAAGCAAAGTTCTGCGGTAGGTAGATGGTTGAATATTCGATAAACTGAATATCTCAAGCTTACACTGCTCATAGCGTATAACGCTGAAGATATCGATCGGTTTTGTCTCCGCGAGCTACGCTGTCCCGACTCCTTGGTTGTTAAAAATCGGTTGAAAGAAACCAAGGACAAGTTACTCCCCAAATCGCTTGAATGGATTTTTCAAGATCCGCAGTATGCGAGTTGGCGAAGTAGCGACCGTGTCTGTCTGCTTTGGATCAAGGGCGGCGCTGGCAAAGGGAAGACAATGATGTCGATCGGTCTTATTGAGGAGCTCACACGAGCACGCCATGAGTCTACGGTGGTGTCTTATTTCTTCTGCCAAAATGCCGACAATGAACTTAACACCCTTCAAGCGATTATCAAGGGTTTGCTTCTGCAATTAGTAAACCAGCGGATCGAGCTTAAAGATTCTCTACGATGCCGCTGGGACACTGTGCACAATCGGTTTAATGAGGACGTTAACTCATGGCGTAATCTATGGAATATCCTGATGGAAATGCTGGATCGATGCCAGTGCTCGAAGGTATATATCATTGTGGATGCTCTCGATGAGTGTCAAGATAACGGTTTGGCCGACTTCTTTAAGTGTATCGTCCGAAATGGATTGGACCATCCCGCCAAAATCAAATGGCTCATAACAAGCCGACCATTGGATAGCGCAGAGCGGGCATTACTAGCTGGACTTGACCAGGTGCAAGTTAGCCTAGAGCTCAACTCGGAGTATATCTCGGAAACTGTTGAGGCTTATATCACTCACAAAGTGAATGAGCTCGGTAAATTCCAGAGATACGATGAAACTCTGAGGACAAAAGTGAAGATGGAGCTTACTGCGAAGGCTGAGGGGACCTTTCTGTGGGTAAGCCTAGTATGCAAGAAACTCGAGAGTGTCTACAGAGATGATGCTTTGGCCACAATTCGAAACTTACCGCCTGGCCTACATCCTTTCTATGATCGGATTTTGAATCAACTCAGCAAAGGCGAGGCAGATGATGTCCAGAAGTGTATGCGGCTGCTTAAGGTTATGATGCTAGCCTACCGACCTTTGAAAGTGGAGGAAATTCCTAGTCTGACTGGCCTGACTGACGAGAACGCTATTGAAACATTGGTCAATCGCTGTGCTTCATTGATCAGGATGCAGGCAAACAACATTGAATTTGTTCATCAGTCTGCTCGAGACTACTTGGCCGGGAAGAACGGACAATCTATCCTCGACTCCTGTGAACACTTCGGCCATGATAATATTCTACTATGCTGTCTATCTTATTTATCTAAATCGCTCAAGGTCAATCTCCTTGGATTATCGCAACCTGACTCAACTAGGGAATCCTTGAGAACGCCGAAACACAAGAGAGAAAATGACTTTCTGGCCGGTGTGGACTATGCAGCTACGTTCTGGGTGCGACATCTCCAGAACACTAAGCGAGCAAGGAGCGGAATTACTGAGAAGGGCGTGGTTGCCAATTTCCTCTACACAAAGCTGTTGGAATGGCTGGAATGCCTGAGTTTGTTAAATCAGCTACCACGGGCTATCGAAGGTCTCAAAACGCTGGCAAACATAGCAAAGGTTGGATCTCAATATTCCTACAATTGAAGTGTGGCTTTTCTGACAAAACTGCTAAAGAACCACGTTAAAGCATTGGCACTTGTGCAGGATGCCACACGATTTCTGTTGCGACATTACCACACTCTAGCAAATTGGCCGTTGCAAATCTACAGCTCTGCGATTATCTTTAGTCCTGAATCAAGTTTTGTGAAGAGGAGGAACAGAGACAAGATTCCAGCGTGGTTTCGAAAATTTCCTGTTACAGAGGACACTTGGACTTCTTTGCTACAGACACTAGCAGGGCACTCAGACTGGGTCACAACCATAGCCTTCTCGCCAAACGGCAAGCTGATCGCATCTGGCTCTAAGGACAAGAGCATCAGGCTTTGGGATGCAGTGACAGGTGAACTTCAGAAGACAATACTAGGCCATTCTGGCTCAGTCAATACTCTGACCTTCTCACCGGATGGCACGCAGATCGCATCTGGCTCCGATGATAATAACGTCAAGCTTTGGGATTCTGCGACGGGTGAGCTTTGGAAGACCCTCGTGGGCCATTCAGGCTTCATCAATATTGTGGCCTATTCACCTGATGGCACGCGGATCGCATCTGGCTCTGATGATAACAACGTCAAGATTTGGCATGCTGCAACAGGTGGCCTTCTCAAGACACTAGCAGGGCACTCAGACTGGGTCACAACCATAGCCTTCTCGCCAAACGGCAAGCTGATCGCATCTGGCTCTAAGGACAAGAGCATCAGGCTTTGGGATGCAGTGACAGGTGAACTTCAGAAGACAATACTAGGCCATTCTGGCTCAGTCAATACTCTGACCTTCTCACTGGATGGCACGCAGATCGCATCTGGCTCCGACGACAGAGATGTCAAGCTTTGGAGTACCGCAAGAGGCGTCCTTCAGAAGACCCTAGTGGGACACTCAAACTGGATAACGACAATGGAATTTTCACCGGATGGAAAGCTGGTCGCATCTGGATCCGCTGATCGAACTATCAAAGTATGGGATGCAGTAAGCGGCAAACCTAAGCAGACACTAGTAGGACACTCAGACTGGATAACGACAATAAAGTTTTCACCGGACGGAGAGCTGATCGCGTCTGGCTCCGATGATAATACAATTAAGCTTTGGGGTACCGCAACCGGTAGCCTTCGGAAGACACTGGCAGGCCACTTAGGACCAGTCAATAGTGTGGCCTTCTCACCAGATAGCAGGCAGATCGCATCTACCTCTGATGATAGCACCATCAAGCTTTGGGATACTATGATAGAAGAGGTTCAGAAGAAAGCGCCAGGTCACTCAGGCCGTGTCAATACTGTGGCAATCTCCCCGGATGGCAAGCTGATTGCATCTGGCTCTGATGACGATACTATTCAACTTTGGGATACTACAACAGGTGACCTCTGGAAAAAACTATCAGGCCACCAGGGTAAAGTTAATACCGTGGCATTTTCACCAGATAGCAAGCTGTTCGCATCTAGCTCTGCCGATAGAACTATCAAGCTTTGGGATACCGCAAGTGGTGAACATAAGAAGACGCTATCACGACTCTTAGACTGGGTAGCGACAATAGTCTTCTCACCGGACGGCAAGCAGATCGTAATTGGCTCCGATGATGGTACCGTTAGCTTTTGGGATGCTGCAACAGGTAACCCTTTGAATGTTACAACAGGACGATTTTTGAAGGGACTATCATTTCACTGGAGTCGAGTCAATAGCGTGGCCTTCTCACCGGACGGTAAGCTGCTCGCATCTGGCTCCAATGACCAGGACATCAAACTTTGGGATACTGCAACAGGTGCGCTTCAGAAGACATTAAGAGGCCATTCAGGCCGAGTCACTATTGTGGCCTTCTCATCCGACGGCAAGAAGGTCGCATCCGGGTCTAATGACAACACTATCAAGCTCTGGGACGTTGCAAACTCACTCGACGCCTCAAAATATTTTGGAAGCACTCTGAGTAGCTTGTGGAAGTTCCGATCATGGCAAGAAATCAGTACATCAGAGCAGGTATATACCTTGAAATTCTCAGCAGACGACCGATACCTTGCAACGAATATTGGTCCAATATGTCTAGAATGCGCCCCCACAGACAGAAAAGACGTGGGCTTGGATATTCTACAGAACCTCTACATCAAAGATCGGTGGATATGCTACGGGGATATGCCCTTCTTTCGGCTACCGTCAGATTTCCAGCCAGCATGTGATGACGTGCGAGGCAATCAAGTGACTATCGGCTTCCAAAACGGTCAAGTTTTAAGCTTCGACATCGACCGAAGTATCCTACATTCAATGCTAAGACAGCGTCGGGGTATGACAACCTGACAGGCTCTATCGGTGGAGATTCGGTGGGGATGGGAGTTGTGGCGAAATCTACGGTCAAGTGTTTTTCTCGGCTTGACTTGAGACATCACTAGTTCAGATTCAGTCAAGATGTGAATAGTCCTTTTCTATGAATACAGAATGATCAATTCCAGGACGACTGAGTCTTGTACAAGATTGTAGATCACACGAAACCTTTAAATACAAGTGCTAGCTCGAAGTCCAACGGCGCCTACATGGCGGCTTGGGTACTTCTGGGCTCTAGAGCGGCACACTTTGAACAACTCCCCGCGCTTACAATGGACGATCATTTTTTTCATTCACCGTCGAGGATTCGGCTTGTCGTTGTACACATGCGCTCTCAACGTTGGGTCCTTTTTAGGGCCTGTAGCATCTGGATTCGTGACGGAGAGCATGGGGTGGAGATGTAAGACATGCCACCGGATATCGGTCGGTGCTATTGTTGCTAACTCGCTCATCTAGGGGTGCATTGATGGTATTCTATCCTCATTGGACTTGCCGTTGTCCTCAACTTCCTGTTTCTAGAAGAGACAGGACTTCCTGGCCATATCCAAAACACCCATCCTAACGTTAAGAGTGAGGAGCACGCCTATAAACTACGAAAGACCTACCTCCAGCGCATGAAACTCTTTACTAGCCTCGACAGTCGCCTTTCCTTTCTCCAGCTCATATTATGCCCCTTCAAGATGCTTCGTGAACCGATCGTCTGGTGGCGTGGGATTACATATAGCTTCGGCGTTGCTTGGCTCACCATTATGGCCTATAAATCTACAACAGTTTTCGCGACCTACTGCTTCTCCTCTGCTGCCACCGGCCTTGCTAATATCGCCCCCCTAGTAGGGGCCTGCTTGTCGCTTTATGTTCATGGTTCAGGAACAGATCACTTCATGATATGGAAAGCGCGCCACAATAGCGGAGTCATGGAAGCTGAATCACGAATCTACTCTGTACTCATCGCAGGCCCCATTATATGTTGCGGGTTGATGCTATACGGCGTCGGTGCCGCGCACCATGTACACTGGATGGGACCTGTCGTTGGTATGGCGATGATCGAGGTGGGCTCCCTATTGCGGCGGAGGTCACGCTCCGTTATGCGAGTGAGAGTTATCCGTCGCTGGCCGGAGAGGCAACAACGGCGCTTGTCTGTATACGGAACGTAATTGGGGCCGGGATAACTTTTGGCATTGGGCCGTGGATCGATCGTTGTGGGCTGCAAAATACAATTGTGACAGTTGGTGTACTTGCGTTTATCGTGTTCTATTCAGGGATTTTCTTTATTTGGAAAGGAAAGGCCTGCCGGAGAATGGGAGCAAAGCGGTATTACCAGATGGTTGCGAAGAAGCAGTAATTGGACCTCGAGTAGCTGAAAACATCACGTTGCCTTAGTGGTACAGAATGCGTCGAAGATGGCTGAGATATGTAAGCGGAAATGACCAGTGCTTGTAAGTACTGTAGAATAAACCAAATTTACCCTCATAAATATTCGGGCCCCGTAGTTTTGGGGGAGGGGTTATTTTTGGAAATGTAACAGTACATGACTATACAGTTTCATACTTTCATCCATGCCCTGAAACGAGGAACGAGTGAAGGGGTTACTACCGTGCGCGAGCTGCCCGCAAAGTTTGGCTGCGTTTCGTACTGCAAAATCGGTCCAAATTGTCGCCGCTGATTCGTCGGTTTTCGCCGCCAAGACGTGTTCTGCTTTGTTATCTCCCTTCCCATTCTGCCGACTCAGTATTGATTCCCCATAGACAGTGTCCGACCTTACATACCTATATTACATTCTTTGTTATTTTCAATTTTTGAGATACCATCTTTCAATAACTAACACCTTCTTAACCTCTTCCAACAATTGAATGTTTACCCACATATCCCGAGGAAGCAGTTCAAACCCCAACAAACAACATACCCCTATATGAAGTAGACCTTTATGACAAACCATCCACTTCTCCGACTACCCTATCAATATCAACATTACACAATTATGTAGTGTTTCACTCTTATCAGAACCACAAACACGCAATCAGCATTTCCAATTCACCTCGAAGCCCCTGAACCAATTTATCCTTCACTATCAGACCAACGACACCCAACCCGCGATCACATTTACAACCCCGATCCATCACCGAAACCCATCGAGAGAGCTACAGAGTACCGTACATCAAAGATTTGACACAAACCCACGACCCTCACCATCACAACTTCACTCTAAACAATACTCTATATCGTCTTTAATTACATTCACGATGCTCTTCTAACATTTTGTTTAACAACAACATCCTCCGAACTCCTACTCTAGATTCACACAATCTGACCCATCAACATCCTTACACGCCCGAATCCTCAAATCCCTTAGAAATACAAACATACCAACGGACAAAATTATAATCCTACTTTACACAAACCAAAAGCTATAATCTTTTCTTCTTAATTACACATTAATTCCACCAACCATATACATCCTGCCCTTATCAGTCGATATTACATATTTTTTATCTTACCTTAATCACATTCATCAAGACACTAACATTTTTTCCAATAACATTCAACCTAGACATCAACAATTATCCTATCTATCACCAGGAAAAAAATCTCCCCCCGAAGACACCACATCAATTCTAAACCAAATTTAAAATATTTCATATACCAAAACATATTTAGAACCCTACCATTTAAGACGTATTTTCCAA